ACAACTACAACTACAACTGCAACTACAACTACAACTGCAACTGCAACTACAACTACAACTACATTTACAACTACTGCGCTACACCACACTACATCCAGGAGTTGTGAGTGAGGTGACCACTGCAACGATTGCAACCACTCCAAAAAACACAACTCCAACCACCTTTCGGTCCATCAGTGGATTCGCTCTGCCATCCGTGATTCACAACAACCAACCTCTCCTATAGGTTTCCTATTTCTGAAACTTCCGCCACCGCCTTGTGCGGCACTACTGGTAAGACTGATAGTAGTCAGAATCATATCAACATAGCTGTCATTGCGACAGCTTTGATGAATTTTGGCAAACATGGAAATGGACCTGGTGAGGGCCTATCTTACCATGCAATCCTGATGCTCCTTCAAGCATGTAACATTGTCACCAAATCATTTCTGGTTCAGGACTCTTTTGCTTTTGAACCCAGCCAGAGCTATCGTACAAACGTGTGTCTCAAGATACAGAGCAAACACGGATGGGCTTGGACCATCTTGGACCTTTCTCAACAAACAGAGTAATTGCGCGGGAGGTACACATCCCTAGGCAATTGGGCTCTCGATACTCATAGGAGTTCTCCTGCTGATACCACAATCTTGTGGAAGGATGCCTTTTTGGCTCACTGAATTCCCTCCTGAGCGTATTGTTGCGTTTTTCATGCCTCTCTCAATGTCTTTCTTATTCTCTCAGCCGTAGTGTTGCAAGCTGAAACACTTCTTGTTGGCCTTTTCTCTCATTGCACAGCACAACACTCTAGTTTTGGCCTGAGTGCAGGCCCTTTCTGTAACGGTTAGAACTGTTTCAATTTTGCTGAATTTGAATCAACTTAGCAGCCCTGACTCTCACAAGCTGTTGGGACCCCATTGCGCTCATGGGGCCAAATATGGCCAGCACTTGTGCGAGGCCCCATCATTTTTCGTGCCAGGATTTGGTAATTTTCTCATAGTTTTGAATCAAACAACTTCATCTCGGCCTAGGGTTATGACGCAAAATGCTTCATTTTATTGGAAACCAGCAAATAATTAAAAAAACAAAAAAAAACCCAACAAAAAAACAAACAAAAACAACAAACAAAAACAATAAAAACACAATAAAACACAATAAACAAAACGAAAAACAAACAAAAAACAATAAACAGCGCACGGTTTGAAACTCAGAGAGACTTTGTGCTTCTCCCTAATGGCCGCAGCTTGTTGATACCACTTGCTCTCAAAGTCCACAGTCTGCTGCGTTGCCTGCTGCCAAGCTGCGGCCCAAACTCCCAAAATCCAACAAGGTCTGCCTAGTCAAAGCTTCAAACAGTGCGCCCACTACCCTTGATGGGGGGCAAACAATCAGTCTAGGGGGTGCCCTGGCGGCTCGTGGTACTCCTTTTTTTTTGGGGTACCTTTTTTTTTTGGGTTGTTTTTTTGGATTGTTTTTTTTTGTGTTTTGTTTCCCTAGGAAAAAAACAAAAAAAAACAAACAAAAAAAAACAAAAACCAAAAAAAAGTGTACCACGAGCCGCCGGGGCACCCCCTAGACTGATTGTTTGCCCCCCATCAAGGGTAGTGGGCGCACTGTTTGAAGCTTTGACTAGGCAGACCTTGTTGGATTTTGGGAGTTTGGGCCGCAGCTTGGCAGCAGGCAACGCAGCAGACTGTGGACTTTGAGAGCAAGTGGTATCAACAAGCTGCGGCCATTAGGGAGAAGCACAAAGTCTCTCTGAGTTTCAAACCGTGCGCTGTTTATTGTTTTTTGTTTGTTTTTTGTTTTGTTTATTATTTTTTTTTGTTTTTGTTTTGTTTTTTGTTTGTTTTTTTTTTGGGGGGGTTGTTTTTTGGTTTGTTTTTTGTTTGGTTCTTTTTCATAATTTTAATTATATATTTTTGATTTTCCAATGAATGAAGATCTCTCGACGTCATAAACCTAGGGACGTCCTCCCTGTAAAACTTGCAATCCCCGAATTCTGCCTTTTGCTCTAATTTCCTTATCTCACGCGTGCATATAATAATTGTGGAACGGGATCCGAATTTTAGGCCCTTGTATCAATGAAGTAGCGCTTCCTTTTTTCCCCTTTTTAAAGTCTTCAGTGAGTGCAATTGTTTCAACCAGACATGGCCAGTGCCTGTGGGCCTGCGCTAAGTGCACTTTTTTGGGGCAGAGGTGAAGACTGAAGGAGTCCATATTTGGAGGGCAGAAAGTAGCAATAGACAGAGATGTTTAGAGCTGGAAATGACGGCATGGCTGGAAACTTGAAACTTGACGGCATGACATGACTGACACGACCTGCCTCCAAGGCATTGAAAAGACAATGAGGGATGCTGTCAAGGATTGGCTAAAAAGTCATTTCGTGTTGCCACGAAGCAAGGTGCGAGGCTGTCGAGATATGACAAGATGTGATGAGATGTGATGAAACCAGCACAATGAGCCAATAAGCTTTCTGAGCCATATTTAAAGTTGAGACATTTTGAGACCGTATTGGAATGCTTTCAACCATTTTGAGCCTATCCTTATGCATCGTGGACTCAGTAAGAGGCTGTGATGTTTAGCAAGAACGTGGACCCAATCAAGGCGGGCAGTTTTTCTGGCTTTCTGAGGGCAATCAAATCTGAAAGTTTGCGTTTGCACGATTACCTCCGGTCCTTGCACTTTTCATTTTGCCCGTTCTGGTGTTTTACTTGATCAGTTTTTCTTTCTTTCCTGTATCATAAATCATAAGTAAATATATGTATAGATAACTATAATATGAAATATATTTCTAATTAATTCCTTTGAGTTCCGAGCCCTGCATTCCCATTTGGCGTTGCCTCGAAGGCACTGGCCCGTCGACCGATGGGAGTCTTGCGCGCAAAGGCCACTTCAACTCGTTCATGATTCACAATGATTCTAATAACGATGGTTTAATTCCGTGCAGATCCCGCTGTTTGAGGTCGCGTGAGAGTGAAACGTCATCCAGATATACCAAAACACCTTGACCGATCCTTATTACTGCCTGACTTTGTGTAACTGTACCAGGTGCTGAGAGCAAGAAATCTGGCGGGGGTGAACTGTCGGGACCATAGTTTGGAGAAGAGAATATAGGAGAAAATGGTAACGCAGAAAAATTAATCATCGTGACCGTGGTTTCACTGATTTCATAGGTCATGCCTTCGAAGAAGGGAGCTTCACCTCACACCCTTATTGTATTCTATCGCCAGGAACTCGAGGAAGATGCAAGAAAGCTTTGAGACAGATTAAAACGCAAGAAACTCGCAAGGAAGATAGTTGAGATCTTGTAGATCTTGCACAGATCTTGCAGCTTCAGCTATTGCTGCTTGCTTGAGGCTGGGTGACTCTTCAGCAAGGACAAGCACAGTCAGAGACACCACTTTTCCTGGCTGGCCAGCGGACGAGCCCTGTACTGAATGCTTTAAGGGTTTATGACTCACAGAAAGAGTGCATTCACTTAGCAAGATCAGCAAGTAAAGCAACTTGCTGCTGTTCTTAGGTCAGGTGGATATTTTGTCGTTCACCATAGGGAACAACGTCTTCAAGTGGAGGTGACACTATGTCTGTTCAGATGCTAGAAACTCCTGTAGTCATCCTCGGCTGAGACATGCAGGTTCAAGCAGAAGCAAGTGGGAGCCTGTTTAGCCACAATTTTACAGGCTTTCTGGGAAGTGCTGCCCTCAGGTTGCAAATGAAAGATACGCGTTGGAAACACTGCAGCATGCCCCAGCATACCCCCCCAGAAGAATTTGTGGTCTTTTTGGTGTTTTTTCTGAATCGTTATGAATCTTTATGGTTCAGTGCTCTTGACACCCACCAAGGTGTATCATGCAGAATTGGCCACTTGAGACGTTGGCCTGTTCAGGCACGTCCTAGCAGTCCCAGCACCTGCGGCACCTGTGGCCTTCACATCCTTTGCTTTTTCTCTACTCTGCCTCTACTTTTTCACACGGGTGTTCCTTTGGGTGTCCCTATTCCCCAATTGACGGCAGCCGGTGACCATCACTACAGCTGTGTGCTGGTGGAGACGTTAAGTTGGCGACTGAATGCTGTGACGCAAATTCCATCGCAATAATGTTTTATGGATTGTTGGATTTGTCTTGGTTCACACGGCCGTGATTAGAAATATTGTGCTACCAATGAGGCCATGATTGTCGTTACCAAACAGAGCTATGGATCCCTTGCTTCTTTCCCTTGTCAAATGTCTGCAGGCTGGCAGCGGAATCCGGTGCAGCACCTTGACCCTTAACACGTCACAGGCCGCTGGAACAAAAAAAACCATTGAAAGACATGATAGAGAGGCCCTACAGGTCTCTAAAGAACTATCATCGATACTTGAATTTGGTATTGCCCCAAAAGGGTCCAGCACTTCCAGTAGGCCAATACTGAAAAAGGATTGTCAGCAAAATGGGCAGGGCGTGCAAAGAACCAAAAACGAAAGGACAGTTTGATGACTTTGCAGCATCGGAACAGGCACATTCTTTCTGTTTGGAGTCTCAGATCTTTTGAGAGCCCTGTTTCTGAGCGAATGCCAGGTGAATCGCGAGCTATTACATGCTACTGCCTTGGGTTTCTGTTCTTTAGCTCCATGACTACATGAATCACGGCAGACTATTGAAATTGTTTGCTGCAATGTTTGCCACTTTGCTTGATCACATAGGATTGCTTTCAGCCCCGCTTGCTGAAGACTCTCAATTATTGCATACTGTAAATGCTGTATTCTGACAAACCTTTCTATAGCTGCCGCATTTTGGAGTGTGTTTCAAAGTAATACATATCCTATGTATATATATATATTTATTTATACTATATACTGTTATTGCTGGCTGTGCTGCCATTGCATGTGGTGGTGCCAAAGCGCTGCATTGTCACTATGGGCGGTGTGCGAAAGTAGCCGGACCGTGTCAGCAGGCTTCAGCATTGACAGAGCTTGTATAACCGTGCTGAAGTTCGATTTGTTTTTGAAGAGATGGGTTCGTTGATGGGCCGTTTGCAGTTCTTTTGCGGTTCTTTTGCTGCATTCTTTAGATTTCTTTAGTCTAGTACATATTTAATATTATGTTCATTTTACCTGCACAAGGCAGACTTTGTGACCGATTAAGCTGCTTCGAAGCTGACATTTTTCTCGTGCTGAGGTGGACGATCCGGTGAGTCGCGGCATTCCATCTACCTTGGACTTGGAGATTCAATGGTTTGCTGGGGGCTTGGCGCAAAGTTTGGCTAGACCACAAAGTGAAAATCAAGCTTGGGACTGGGACCTGGGACCATGTCTCAGGATATTGTGGAAGGGCCAGCTTTGAGTGCTCAATTGCAGGCAAGTCCAATTTGAATGCTTTCAATGCTTTGACTTTGTTTAAACTTGAAGACTTCTGTATGCCTCACCACAAGTGGATCATGCTCTGCTGCTATGAGGGATACTGCTTGCAAGGTGGCAATTTGGGTGGAGCTTCTGAAGGGTACAGGTTTCCCCATGGAAGCGAATGTCAGACGCGGGCTTCGGTGGAGGACCCGATGGGAAGGGGAGACTGACTTGAGTCAGCTGAAGCTGATTGAGAGCTGGCCTCGCACAGGACATGGATTGAAGACAATGAAGATCATGCCAAGGCACTATTTCTCCTCATCTTTTCCAAATTAAAGAAGGAAGCAGCTTGAAGCAACTGCTTAGATGTCTGTATTTTCAAGGCACGACTGATGCGTCCAAAGCTTCCGCAGGGCAGTAACGCTGTAAGCACACAATGAGACAGAGCTGCCAGGTCAGCCCAAAAGGTCAAACGTGCGGAAGTGAGCTGGGCGCTTGGACTCTGGAAGTGCAATTCAAGTTGAGAGCGCTGAGCGCATCTGTTTGGTTCTAGTGAATTGCTGAGCAGCACGACTCAGGTTGCAGTTCCCTCAAGTCGCTATCAATCCGAGGCTTTTCCCAGCCAGAGCCCTAGTGGGAATCAGCTTGCAAATGCTCAGCAATGATCAATATATCACAATGATATTCAGCTTAAGCAAACAACTCCTTCAACTCCGAGCTCTCGATGTTGCTCCGCACCTGTTCCTTTTGTGTTGTTTTTGGATCCTTTTGAGGTGATCGACAATCTTAGTTGCCGTGGATACCCAATAAAGGTGCCAGCGCAGCCTCTTTTGGAAAGACGCTAGGGGTGAAGCAATCTCCAACATAGTCAATCTTACTAGAGTTCTATGCTGCCTTTGCTGGGAAGGACATTTCTGAGATTCTTGGCATCAACGAAGAACTTGTTACCTCATACACCAGGCAGGTTTGCTGCTAAAAGACTGAAAGGGCCACTACAGCATTCGCATGCCACGAAGTGCCAAGAACATCAAGGGCGGAAGATGATGCCAAGATGAACTGATGAACTGATGCAAAAGCAATGATTGGTGATCATACTTGGAGGGCACGTGAAGATTTCCAACGCAGTCAAGCAGAACTTGTGCAGGCAGGGTCGCACCTCTGACTCTTGGTGGGATATCTTGATGGTATTCGGGTGTATTTGGATTTATTGTAGAGCTTCGCACACCGGCGATGCCATCAGGGTTATGTGTAATAATGTGAGCGTTGGTGTTGTGCATGTGCTCTGCGCGCACAGGTGCAGAGCACACTGTGATGTTCTTTTCATATCTCAGCTTGTAACCATCTTACCACACATCTTTTTGTCGCATTTTTGTGCTTAGCTTTTCCTTCTCAATCTTGTAGGGGCCGAAATCGCCAAATAGGTGGTGTTTCCACGTTTTTTTGAAACTCTCGGAGCAAAAAACACCGTAAATACCAATGTTTTTCTCCCTCGGAAGCACAAAACCAGCGTATTTACGATGTTTTTTGCCTCTGGTAGCAAAAATCACGGTATTAACAGCGTTTTTTGTGCCAGTGCCTAGCAAAAACGCTGGTATTTACGCAGTTTTCACCATGTTGCAGATGTAGCTTCTATATGCGAAAAGGAGAGGTTTGGGAGCCAGCAGTTCCCAGAACAGGGAACCCGAGGTTCCAAGATTGGGAAGCATTGGTTCCAAGGTTTGGGAACCGCTAGTTCCTAAAACTGGAAACACGAGGTTCCAAGAATGGGAAGCATTGGTTCCAACATGTGGGAACCTTTAGTTCGTAGACGTAGGAACCTGCGGTTCCAAGATTGGGAGGCATTGGTTCGAAGGTTTGGGAATCGCCAGTTCCTACCCGAGGTTCTAAGATTGGGAAGGACTGGTTCCAAGGTTTGGGAACCGCTAGTTCCTAGAACTGGGAACCCGAGGTTCCAAGATTGGGAAGCATTTGTGCGAAGGTTTGGGAACCGCTAGTTCCTGGAACTGGGCACCCCCAGGTTCCAAGATTCCGAATCATTGCTGACACATGTGGGAAGAGCTTGTTCCTTGAACTGGGAACTGGTTGTTCTTGGGAACCAAAGTTCTTCGAATTGGGAACCTGTGGTTCCAAGATTGAGAGCATAGGTGCGAACGTTCGATCAAAAAGAAAATGCTATGTAAATGCATTTTTTGGCGGGCCATTAAGCAAAACAACAAAACGTATTGCAAACATGTAAATTGAATCGGATGCCTATGTTACAACCTCTTCAAACGTAGTTGTTGAAATTAAAGTTGGGAAACCCATGGTTCCAAGATTGAGAGCATTGATGCCAACGTTTGATCAAAAGCAGAACGCTATGTAAATGTATTTTTTGGAGGACCATTAAGCTAAACAACAAAAACATATTTCAAACATGTATGTTGAATCGGATGCCTATGTTAAAACCTTTCTGAAGCGTAGCTCTTGAATAGAATTGGTATCGAAATTCCAAACATATCGTCAACCGCATGGATATGTGTAATTCTTGAAGTAAACATGATCTTAACTCGGAACTTATCGTTGCAGCCTTAGAAACAATTGCTAACTGGTAGAGCTGGGAACCCAGAGTTCCAAGCTTCGAAAACAGTGATTCCAAGGTTTGGGAACCGCTAGCTCCTAAAACCCGAGGTTCCAAGATCGGGAAACATTGGTTCCAAGATTGGGAAACATTGGTTCCAAGGTTTGGGAACCGTTAGCTTGTAGAACTGGGAACCCGAGGTTCCAACATTGGGAAGCATTGGTTCGAAGGTTTGGGAACCGCTGAACCCGAGGTTCCAAGATTGGGAAGCATTGGTTCCAAGGTTTGGGAACCAGCAGTTCTTCAAACTGGGAACCCGTGTTTCCAAGATTGGGAAGCATTGGTTCGATTGGGAAGCATTGGTTCCAAGATTTGGGAACCGCTAGTTCCTAAAACTGGAAACACGAGGTTCCAAGAATGGGAAGCATTGGTTCCAACATGTGGGAACCTTTAGTTCGTAGACGTAGGAACCTGCGGTTCCAAGATTGGGTAGGCATTGGTTCCAAGGTTTGGGAACCGCTAGTTCCTAGAACTGGGAACCCGTGGTTCCAAGATTCGGAATCATTGATGACACATTTGGGAAGAGCTTGTTCGCAGAACTGGGAACCCATGGTTTCAAGATTGGTATGCATTGGTGCGAACGTTCCATCAAGAACAAAACGACATGTGAATGCATTTTTTAGCGGACCATTAGGCAAAACAACACTAACGTATTTCATACATGTATGTTGAATCGGATGCCTGTGTTGTAACCTTTCATACGTAGTTGTTGAAATTGAAATTGGGAAACCTGTGGTTCCAAGATTGAGAGAATGTGCGAACGTTCGATCAAAAACAACATGCTATGTAAATGCATTTTTGGCGGACCATTATATAAGCAAAACAGCACAAGCGGATTTCAAACATGTATGTTGAATCGGATGCCTATTTTACAACCTTTTTGAAGTGTAGTTCTTGAATAGAATTTGTGTCAAAATTCCAAACATATCGCCAACCGCATGGAAATATGTAATTCTTGAAGTAAACAGTATCTCGTAACTCGGAACCTATCGTTGCAGCCTTGGAAACTATTGCCGATTGGTAGAACTGGGAACCCGAAGTTCCAAGCTTCGAGAACATTGGTCCCAAGGTTTAGGAACCGCTAGTTCCTAAAACTGGGAACCCGAGGTTCCAAGATTGGGAAGCACGGGTTCCAAGATTGGGAAGGATTGGTTCCAAGGTTTGGGATCCGTTAGTTCCTAGAACGGGGAACCTGTGGTTCCAAGATTGGGTATAGCATTGGTTCCAAGGTTTGGGAACGGTTAGTTCCTAGAACTGCATACCGGTGGTTCCGAGATTGGGAAGCATTGGTCCCAAAAATTGGGAACCAGCAGGTCTTCAAACTGGGAACCCGAGGCTCCAAGATTGGGAAGCATTGGTTCCAAGGTTTGGGAACCGTTGGTTTGTAGAACTGGGAACCCGAGGTTCCAAGATTGGGTATAGCATTGGTTCCAAGGTTTGGGAACGGTTAGTTCCTAGAACTGCATACCGGTGGTTCCGAGATTGGGAAGCATTGGTCCCAAAAATTGGGAACCAGCAGGTCTTCAAACTGGGAACCCGAGGCTCCAAGATTGGGAAGCATTGGTTCCAAGGTTTGGGAACCGTTGGTTTGTAGAACTGGGAACCCGAGGTTCCAAGATTGGGTAGGCATTGGTTCCAAGGTTTGGGAACCGTTAGTTCCTAGAACTGCATACCGGTGGTTCCGAGATTGGGAAGCATTGGTCCCAAAAATTGGGAACCAGCAGGTCTTCAAACTGGGAACCCGAGGCTCCAAGATTGGGAAGCATTGGTTCCGAGGTTTGGGAACCGTTGGTTTGTAGAACTGGGAACCCGAGGTTCCAAGATTGGGAAGCATTGGTTCAAGGTTTTGGGAACCACTATTTCTGAGAACTGAGAACCCGAGGTTCCAAGATTCGGAAGCATTGGTTCCAACGTTTGGGAACCGCTAGTTCCTAGAACTGGGAACCCGCGATGCCAAGATTGGGAAGCATTGGTTCGAACGTTGGGGAACTAGCAGTTCCTCGAACGCCAAACCCATGGTTCTAAGATTGGGACGCATTGGCTCCACCGTTTGGGAGGTGGCAGTTCCGCCGTTGCCGCAACATATTCGCACGGCATGAATAAGCGTCTCTGACATCTTTTCTATCTGGGGTCTGTGTTGGTGCAATTTTTATTTTGTGTTAAAATCATTTTTTTCTGTTCCCGTTGGCCTCTCATAATCATAAGGCTAGTTTTCGTCACTTACCCCTGGCCTTAAGTTCCTAAAATCGATACACGGGTGCCCACCAAAACATCCCCTCATGTGTGGGTTTTTAAAACCTTTTCTGGAAATTGGGAGTGAATTGTGAGTTGGGTGTTCGGAGCGACGCTTCCGGGCCATGACTGCTGATGCCGTTATTCTTGTGTGTGCTGTTGCAAAGGGGGAAAAATTGGGATGGACACTGCACATTTCTGTAAAATAAAACAAAATGTTCGTGTTACATGGGTCACTGCTCGTGCGATTTGGTGAGGCACAGAGCAAAGATGACTATCGTGTCGACCTGCAATGGCCATGCCCCAAGAGCGCCATCACATTTGATTTCAGTGCTGGTGTGTATTGACTGCAACTTCACAGGCGGCTGCAAGGGGTTCCCAAAAATTCATGTAGGCGCGTTTGACCCAGGTCCCGTAGATGACACTTTTGCACCTGAATCTGTATGTGAATTTTAGTCACACTTTCATGCATGGCGTTTTTTTTTCCTTTTTCTCTATTTGTCTGTTCGTCCCTCACTTTCTCTCCGGTTCTGCTTCACAACAAAACTTATAAGATACTCACATGCTTCTACAACAGTTCAGGGATTGTGGTTTATGAATTTAATTTGTGTTCGACTTGAGGTGAGGAGGTCAGGGTGCTGGTGGCAAGCTGTCAATTATCAAATTCACGCGCACACATCCTTGGATGAGGGAATTCTTGCATGTACGAAACCCGAGGTTTGACATTGCTGTCCATTTGTTGGATGCTTCGCACTTGCCAAAGAAGCTTCACATAGCGTTATACGATAGCAAGGACTGGCTTCAAACTTCAGTAGGGATTTGGACGACTCTGAGCGGAAGGTTGAACCTCCAACATGTATACACACACACACCAATATTTTAGATTGATACACAAAGAAACACACGGGGAGCATTTGCTTGCCATCCAGAACTGGAAAACAGGGAAAGAAACACCACAATATAAAACAGATTGCAAGAGGTGCAACTGGGGTGTTACCCATGGTGGAAGAAACAAAAACAGTGAAACGATAGAGAGGACTCCTGCAGGCAGAAACGGCCAGAGACTCACAACAACAAGACTTTCAAGTTATACCAGTACGGAAGTTCTTTTGTCGTCACAAAAAGGGATATCAGGGGCAAGAAAGGTAAGGTGAGAAGGACTGTCTGCATCTCGGGGCCCAGTACGAGCCAGCCGACGCCGCAGGGATTTAAGTGAAGTCAAAGTTTGTTTGGAAAGTTTTCCCACCATGTTTCCACTGCGCTGCGAAGCAAGGCAACAGTTAGCAACAAACAGGCACTAGGCACCCCAAGAGATAAATTTACAACTTTGACAGATCGAACCAGAAACACCCAGATGTTTCTATCTCGAATGGTCTAGAACACCAATTTCATTCATTTTGAGACCTAAGGGTTGCAGTTGACAGTTGGGGAAGAGGCTCGATACACACCAATGGAACCGATGCAGGACGCAGAAGTAGGGCGGCTGGAGCCCATAAGCCTCAGGCACAGCTTCAAAATTGGTCTCTGCTACAACTGTTCTTGTAGCCGGCTTTGTCCATTCCTTCTGCCGAGCAGGTCCCTTCAAGACATGCCTACGCCTGGTACTCGCGTTTGCCAGCTGCAGGTGCCACAAACAAGTCTGACTTGGTTAACAAAAGGTCACCTTGTACTTGAGCTTCAAAATATAGAGATTGGATTCAATCTTTTTGGCTTTCTTGTGTGCCAGGTTGAAGCAGATCAAGGCAATCTTTTTGTCAGATTCAGTTGAGACCAGAGATCCCTTGCAAGTCACTTTGCAAATCACCTTGCAGATCACCTTACAGGCATCGTAGCTTGGCTGGTGCCATCCGCTCCAACCCGCTTCGTGGGCACCTTACCCCCCACAGCCTTGACATTGGCCCGGACTGCCTTCAATGATCCACCATTCCATACTCGGAATGATTCCTTGCAGGCAACAGTTGAAATGGAGATCTGTGTCAAGCTTTGTGGGCTGAGACCAGGCAGTCCTTTGGTTCTAAGAAATCAACGATGAACAATATGAACAAACCTGGATGTCTGCTGGATGTCATGGACAGGCAACGACATACCTCGAATGCATTGGTCTCAGATGAACGCCTTGGTCGAAACTCGAGCGACAGTTTTTTGGCTTTCAGACTTTCCCTCCTGCGAGGTGACTCTGGTGATTTTACTCAAGGCGCAGATTCTCTCATGATTCTTGTTTCACCATGATGACTGCAAACACAAGAGCCCCCAGCTGCAGCGCCATCGATCTGACACTTTTGATTCTAAAATCTGAGTCTTGAAAGGTGCAGATAGACGTGATTGTTTTCAAATTCTTGAATTGGCTGCAATGACGGATGACAAGGAGTTGCTAAGGCCAGCAGTTGTGACGCTTGTGTTTGTAGTATATATATATAGTACTGTAGTCCTTTGAGCAACATGGTACCCCTGAGAACCCCAAGCATCCCAAAGCCATAAAAAGCAATACGTTTGACTATCGAAACCTTTCAAACAAAATATATAATATTATATAATTTCTTTCAATTTCTGCAATTTCAGCAGGCAATAGGTCGAAGATCCCAAAATGCCCAAAGTTTGAGCTGCAGATGGCAGGCACATGCAGTCACTATATTCACAAGATTTCACAAGTCATCCTTTGAGGCAGTGGTAAGCGCCAAGCCGACGCACCACTCACAGAGCCGCTGTTGCTCCGCTGGCAGCTGCCGCCGCATTAGTGCCAGCGCCATCTGCACATTGAACGTGGGCGTGGCTCCTGTTGAGTCCAATGAACGTGGAAACATGACGCAGAGTGGCACAAAGCTTCGCAGAGTGATGCAGAAGAAGTTCATATTTCGCTGGTGATGCTCGTTGGTGGAGATTCTTCACTCTGTTGGCTCTTTGTCCCTCGCATCTCAAGACCACGCTCTGACACTTGCCGAACTCAGCAAGCGTTTCAACTTCAGCATATGTGTCCAGCTTGTGATGGTGGCATAGGCCTGTGTTCGCATGTGCCTGTGCAAAGGAAAGTAAACCCTTTCCACCAAGCTACCAGCAGCAAAAAAAGGCTGCGAAATCGAGGATTTCAGACAGTGGAAAAAAGCGTTCGGTGTGTAAACTGTGGTTGCGCTGCTGTGCATTTTAAGATTTCCAAAAGTTGCAGGAAACGCGTTCTCGACATATTCCGTTATTTCTTTGCATCTCAAATTCTTCCAACCGCCGAGTGTGAAGACCCGTTCATTCTTGTGCCTTGGCTGCCCTTGGCATTTTTGTGCGATGTCCAGCTCAACAATTCAACAACATTAGATGAAACCGCGTGCCTTGACCTGCAAGGCCACCTGGCTGGTTGACATGGCACAACGGATTCCCTCCTTTGTCCCACCGCAACGATCTGAGTCATTTGAGTACTTTTTTCACTGTCACATCTATCACATTTGTCACATCATTTCGCACGGTTTCATTCTAATGGTAGTGAACTTTCTGGACATGCTGATGATTTTCTGCTGCTCAGGCCGGCTGCAGCACAGCCTCCTGTGCAGGTTGTCGAGCACTAAGCATAACAGATTATGGAACAGATTTCATGTCAAAGAATGTGGAGGCTGACTGCGAACGCCAAAGCAGGGGTTCAAGTTAAGACTGTCCAATTGTCATTCCAAGAGTGAAACCTTCCAAGACTTGGAATGACGCAGATACAGATCAAACAAGCATGGGGCGTGGAGGCTAGCAAGATGTCCAGCAAGAAAGCCAAGTAGCCCTAAAAAGGCCACAGGCCGTAGGCCCCTAGTCATCTAAGCTGATCAAATTTGATCCTTTCTATTTTCCAATCTTGTAGCTACACGAACAGTACTGTGGCCGGCAGAAGCCGGATTTGTAAAGCGAACGCAGATGTGCTGCTTGATGTTTTTCTTGGATGATTTCCTGATTTGGGGCCTCCTCTCAAACTGTCTAATTCCATACTTGGAGGCTGTTGGTGATATCTGCGTTTCAGTAGCTTGTGGATTCATTGTCGTTGTCATAGCTCAGATGCGGGCTGATAGATTTTCATGTTCTGATCACCCGCTTCGGCCCAGGCTTGGGCACCCAGTCCTGGACTACCAAGCCCAGAGGATTGGGCCTCAGAAATTCTTCGAGACCTTACTTGGTCCACCTTGGTCCACCAAGTAGGTTCAAACGATTTGAAACGTAGGTTCCAACCAGAATGAACCAAACCCTCTACATGCAGCATGCTGCAGCATGCAGTACTATGCACCCGTCATAGCAGGCATTGACGTTTGGTTTCAAGGGGTCATTTGCTCTTCTTGTGGTATTGCTGATGCTGCAGGCACGTGTACTTTCCTTTAATCCTTTACAATCCTTGTTTTTTGTTGGTTGCTTGTACGAGTATCAACCAATAAGACTTTCTCAAGTCAGCAAGTTAAAATATAATATAGTGTTTGCAGCTCACATTGGCAGAGTTGTTTGTTGACTCAGTCCAGAGGTGATCCAAAAGCAGAAGGAGGGCTACGTCAGGCCTGTTGTTATTTGACGATTTTGACGCTGCCTTTTTCGATGCTGGTACAGTGATGTACAGTGCACAGTACGATGCTGGTTCGATCCTGGAAGTTCAAGCCACTCTGATGCCCAAGTACTGAGGCTTCTGGACGAGCAATTGAAGCAAGGGCAGGCAGTGGTTGTCTCTGCCTGGTGGTTTCCGACCAGTCTGGAAAATCAATGGAAAGTATCATGCAGCAAAAAAAATAGCAAAAGTAGCATAGTATAGTTGACCCAGATAAAGAACTGGCATAGCAGATCTGCCCTTGCCAGAACACCCTGGATCAGCAGCGGAAACAACAGTCTGAGTACTTGCATACACAAGCGCAGAACTCAGCATCGTACCATATTCTGACCAAGGTCCAGCACCTCTTTGAGACAATCAGCACACTTATCATCGCTTATCCATCGTCTATGCAGGCACAGCAGCAGAAGCAGCAAGTCGAGATGCAAATCAAGCAGCAGGTGTCAGAGAGATTCTGGGCTGTCTCAAAAATTAGCACACCTATTTCGGGCCTTCGGGCTTCATTTTAAAGTTCTGCAAGTTCTGCAAGTTCGGGTGTGTTCAGGTGGATGCAACATGTCCAACATGATGTCCAACATGACGCAACTTGGAAGGTGCAGCAACAGGAAATGCAGTTGCTCCAGCAGTACAACCAGTCTTTGATGCAGGCCCGATGAAGATGAACATGAAACAAGAGGATTCAAGAGGAGTAGATTATACTAGTAGACAAAGAATTGACAAAGAATTCACAAAGTGTTGTGTTGGGTGTCACAATTGCCCAATCTCAGGGTCTCTATTTCATAGAAAGGGGTTCTCAACGGGCTGCCGGTACTCAGTCGCCACTGGGTTTCCTACAAATATTCGGGCGTGCCTGGATTAGTGTTGGGTCACTCCTGTGCTTGTAGCAGTCTCGAAGACCTTTGTACGACCCCTCGAGCTACTTACTATGGAAACGACTGCATGTTTGCAAACCTCTCTGTATCATATTACACGCACGATCCAGAACTTATGCGCGTCCATAGAGCCAGGAACACACAGACACACATCTCTGCGATGCACGAAGAAGGGTAGCTTCCTGGAGCGCTGACAATCCTGTTTATTTGGGACAGGGAAAGTGTTGAGTAAAATGTCTTCTCTTTGATGTTTCTTTATTCTTGTTTGTTTTGATTTAAGTGAATTTATGTATATATATACAATAACCGACCGGCAGTTAGAATATGATCCAAAAGAAACCATGGATATGGATTGACGTCCAGATAATAGCATCCATACCAATTTCGTACCCGGGGAAAATGCAGTTAGAATTCCAAAAATACAACAATAGTTAGAATTTAAATAAGCAACATATATATATATATGTATGTATATATATATATATATATTGTACAATATATAGGATTATACACAAAATGAATGAACATTTTAGCATCGGCCGGTATGTGTCAGAAACCTCATGCATTTGAAGATTAGTTTGTACAATATCACTAGTTTGCAATGTGGTTGGGAGAAACTGATGCAGATAGAATATAGAAACTAACCATAAAAACATTTATCAGTCTCAATGTTTTGCAGATAAACAGAAACATTTCACCGGGGACGAAATTTATATGAATGCTGCTATCTGGAAGTCAATCCATATCCAAGGATTCCTTTGGATCATATTCTACCTGCTGGTCGCTTACTGAAATGAACACGAACCACAGACATGATCAAATCATCTACTGTACTGCACTGCAGTTGTTTTATTTGCAGACAAACATGTGTGTGAACAATGGTGATCAAACAACCAATGCATTCTGAAAACATATTGTTTGAAATAACGACCTGATGTAACCCATCCATCAACACGTGTGCCAGATCATTGATTTGCAATATGGTTGGAAGAATACTATGCAGTTAGAATTTGAACATGAACCACAAACATGATCAAATCATCTACAGTACTGTACTGCACTGCAGTTGTTTTATTTGCAGCCAAACATGTGTGTGAACAATGGTGATCAAACAACCAATGCATTCTGAAAACATATTGTTTGAAATAACGACCTGATGTAACCCATCCATCAACACGTGTGCCAGATCATTGCTTTGCAATATGGTTGGAAGAATACTATGCAGTTAGAATTTGAACATGAACCACCAACATGATCAAATCATCTACAGTACTGTACTGTAATGCAGTTGTTTTATTTGCAGGCAAACATTTGTGTGAACAATGGTGATCAAACAACCAATGCATTCTGAAAACATATTTTTTTGAAATAACGACCTGATGTAAACCATCCATCAACACGTGTGCCAGATCATTGATTTGCAATATGGTTGGAAGAATACTATGCAGTTAGAATTTGAACATGAACCACAAACATGATCAAATCATCTACAGTACTGTACTGTAATGCAGTTGTTTTATTTGCAGCCAAACATGTGTGTGAACAATGGTGATCAAACAACCAATGCATTCTGAAAACATATTGTTTGAAATAACGACCTGATGTAACCCATCCATCAACACGTGTGCCAGATCATTGATTTGCAATATGGTTGGAAGAATACTGTGCAGTTAGAATTTGAACATGAACCACAAACATGATCAAATCATCTACAGTACTGTACTGTAATGCAGTTGTTTTATTTGCAGGCAAACATTTGTGTGAACAATGGTGATCAAACAACCAATGCATTCGGAAAAACTTTTTTTTGACAACGACCTTTGGATGTAATCCACCCATCAACACGTATGCCAGATCATTGATTTGCAATATGGTTGGAAGAATACTATGCAGTTAGAATTTGAACATGAACCACATAAATGATCAACTCATCTACAGTACTGTACTGCACTGCAGTTGTTTTATTTGCAGCCAAACATGTGTGTGAACAATGGTGATCAAACAACCAATGCATTCTGAAAACATATTTTTTTGAAATAACGACCTGATGTAAACCATCCATCAACACGTGCTAGATCATTGATTTGCAATATCGTTGGAAGAATACTATGCAGTTAGAATTTGAACATGAACCACAAACATGATCAAATCATCTACAGTACTGTACTGTAATGCAGTTGTTTTATTTGCAGGCAAACATTTGTGTGAACAATGGTGATCAAACAACCAATGCATTCTGAAAACATATTTTTTTGAAATAACGACCTGATGTAACCCATTCATCAACACGTGTGCCAGATCATTGATTTGCAATATGGTTGGAAGAATACTATGCAGTTAGAATTTGAACATGAACCACGGAAATGATCAACTCATCTACTGTACTGTGTTGTACAGTAGTTGTTTTATTTGCAGGCAAACATTTGTGTAAACAATGGTGATCAAACAGCCAATGCATTCTGAAAACATATTTTTTTAATAACGACCTGATGTAACCCATCCATCAACACACGTGCCAGATCATTGATTTGCAATATGGTTGGAAGAATACTATGCAGTTAGAATTTGAACATGAACCACAAACATGATCAAACCATCTACAGTACTGTATTGCACTTGTTTTATTTGCACGCAACATTCATGTGAAAAATGATGATAAACCAATGATTGTTTTATATTGACAAGTATTATTGTTATATATTTGTTGTTTATCAAAATTGTTAACACACATTTGGTACATCTCATCCACTAAAACATCTGCCAGATCATTGATTTGCAATATGGCTGGAAGATTACTATGCAGTTAGAATTTGAAGAATGATTATCAAACAACTTATCAATACTGTACATGACACTATAATATATGTACAGTATAATGTACACTACTCTGATCATGGGGGTGCAGGTGATCGCACAAAGTTGTGCCGCTGAACTACAGTACTCGTACCGCTGCTCAAGCGAATGACGCCGCAAGCAAACTGATGTATATACAGTAGCACCAGGTGGTTCTGTCTTGATTCGATATATGGAACATGAAATGGAAAGTACAGTACAAGGACTATAGAATGTACAATTTAATGTATTGTATGTCTTTTGAGGGGATGAAACCCAAAATAATAAGCACAAGGGCTACAGAACTGCATACTGTACAGTATTTCTTTTGAGGTGATTACTGTAAACCCAAACAACTTGATTGGATGTGTTTTGACATTGCATTTGTTTCAAAGAACATTTTACAGTAGGGGGCGGTAGTCGTTTCGCAAATACACCTCAAATATGGAGGTGGTATGGTCACCACCGCCGCTCGATGATGCGGCGTGCACTGATCACTATCAGTTGCTTGGTATTGCTCCTGCATTGGGTGCAGGTGCAACATCCATGCAACGCGTGCTCCATTTGGGAGCAGTTGACTGTGAGACTGTGAAGGACTGTTACAAGAAAACATTGCAGCACTTTGCTGGCAATCCGTTTCGGCTTTCAAAACTCAACCAAGCCTTTTCGGTGCTCACACATGAGCAGAAGAGAAAAGTGTACGACTTGGAATTGATGCAGAAAGCCGCACTAGCAGCCACTTGTACTGTACTGTATTGCGTTTTGGGGATACAGTACAATGGAAGCTTATTACAGTAAGATGCAACAAATGCATTATGTTGAATTGTTGTTTCACTAAATCATCATCAGCCAAATACTGTACTGTAATCACTGAAAACAAAGGCAAGCAAAGAAACTTAACTACAGCACTGTGCAGTAAACAATGGTTGATTTCAATCTTGGGGCTATTGTACAACACAATTTGAAAGTATGGAGGCACTACAGTACTGTAAAGCAACAGCAGTTAGAATATTTCTGAATCATTGCAACAGCAACTAAGGTTTCCTTTTCAGCCCAAGATCATGCTCGCATCCGCAAAGCCAATGAAGACAAAACACTACAGGGTGGAAACGACAAGTCCGAACCTCCACTGCCAGCGCCAGAGTGTCCACCAGGGTCTGACGAGAGTGGCAATGAGGACGTAGATCAACCAGAGACAGAGAAGGACAAGATTGAACCATCGTCGTCGGACATATCGAAGCAGAAGCATTGCTACAAACTCGTGCTGCGGGATTCATGTCGCAAATTCCATATCAAAACCTACGGTTCTGAATCACTTGCATTGTTTGCTTGCGAGGAATTTCGCAAAATTGCTCGCAATATGCTGCAAGAGTTCGACATTTACAAGAAGAAACCAAAGGAACGTAAAGATTTTTTGGAAAGAGCTGGTTGTGACGAGAAGTTTCTGCTACCTAAGACATCCATTCAGAGTCAACATGATGCCGTAGTGCGGCGTTTGTGCAACGGTTTAGTATCTCATGTTGAGAAATCAGTGATGGACAAACTCATGGTCAAGCTTGGTGGTGATATGGATATGACTCGAATGTCTATCAAACCTACAGGGAAAGGGTTTTCGGCGACATACACAGGGACGCAAACTACGCTGCAGCAAAGTTTTCCTTCACTGCAAAAGGGATTTGCATGGCTCAAGGAACTGCTTGTGGCAGATAAGGTTCGGGTGGTGTTTCAGATATTGATTACTGTACTGTACTGTACTATATGATAGTACAGTAAGCTGTTAGAATATGATGATCATGCAGTTAGAATATGATACAGTAACTGTACTATACAGTAACCCTACAGTAATAACAAAGCCATCACAACCACCAGTCATTTGAGGACCAGTTTACAAAACATGTGCTGAACTGCACAGTATTTGGGATTTCAGTACAGTACTGTATTGGAGATATCTTTCTTGCACTATTGTATTTGCAATCCCCCTTGCAGGGTGGCAAAGTGCAGAAGTCTATCGAATCTCTCGCTTCGAGCAGCCGGGAAGCAGTTCAGGCAGAGCGGGCTATGGAAACGTTAGCTACAATGAAAGGCCACGAGCTGACTGAAATCGCAGCGGCTGAACCTTCGTCATCATCAGTGGTTAGTTCTGCCGAAGATGTTACTGCTCGATTTCTCCAACCATCCGAGAACAAAGCCAAGGTACCACTGTCCACTATCTTTGTGTACAAAGGGATTCTTGCCCGTTTGTCAGGATTGGTCAATACTGATGATTGTTCTCTAGGCATTCTTGCGGGCAAAGATTCAGTCGTCAGGGATGTGATCCTAGGGCCGTCAATAGAGTTTGTACTCAACCAAACAGAAGTGATGGACCGATGGAATACATATGAGTACGAAGTGCTTGGATTGTGCATCCTTGAGCATGTGAAGACACCAGAGTCTTATCAAAGTGATTTGATGAAATTGCCCAATCCAAACAAAAGAGACTTGCTTCTGCTCGCGAGTAATGCGGGCGCTCAACCAACAGCATGGATATATCAGCAGTGCGCGAAACATGATGACCAAGAGGTTCCTTTCTCTCTCGTATCACTACAAACCGGACGTGGTCGAGGAAAAGATGAAATCTTCACTGTGGTTCATGCCAACAATGTCGGTGTTGAATTTCAAGATCAGGCAGGGTTACCTTTTCCAAAGGAGTGCTGTAGTACTGAAGGATGTTTTGATGTACAGTACAGTGCCGTATATCAGGGCCAATCTCTACAATTTCACAGTACTGTATCATGAAAACTTTGCAGTTAGAATACAATACTGTACATACGGAAATTGGACCATGGTGCATTTTTCCGAAGGATTGCATATATTGTTTATTAATGCACTATATATTACACACTGAGTGTACAGTAGTACAATACAGTACTGTACTTTAGAAAGTTTTGATGTACACTGTAGTAGGGTCGTGTGGTTTCCAACTTCTGTTTGTAGCTTCACAGTATCATGAAACCTTTGCAGTTAGAATACATACGGAATTGGAACTGTACATCACAATACAGTCACTGTACTGTACAGTATGGGGTATTTGTCCGAAGAATTGCATACTGTATATTGTTCATTAATGCACTATAGCCACTGTACAGTAGTCAACACAGTATTGTAAAAGGATTTGATGTACACTGCAGTAGGGTTGTGTGGTTTCCAACTTCTGTTCGTAGCTTCACAGTATCATGAAATTTTTGCAGTTAGAATACATACGGAATTGGAACTGTACATCACAATACAGTCACTGTACTGTACAGTATGGGGTATTTGTCCGAAGAATTGCATACTGTATATTGTTCATTAATGCACTATAGCCACTGTACAGTAGTCAACACAGTATTGTAAAAGGATTTGATGTACACTGCAGTAGGGTTGTGTGGTTTCCAACTTCTTTGTAGCTTCACAGTATCATGAAACAGTTAGAATACATACGGAATTGGAACTGTACATCACAATACAGTCACTGTACTGTACAGTATGGGGTATTTGTTTGCATACTGTATATTGTTCATTAATGCACTATAGCCACTGTACAGTAGTCAACACAGTATTGTAAAAGGATTTGATGTACACTGCAGTATCATGAAACTTTTGCAGTTAGAATACATACGGAATTGGAACTGTACATCACAATACAGTCACTGTACTGTACAGTATGGGGTATTTGTCCGAAGGATTGCATACTGTATATTGTTCATTAATGCACTATAGCCACTGTACAGTAGTCAACACAGTATTGTAAAAGGATTTGATGTACACTGCAGTAGGGTTGTGTGGTTTCCAACTTCTGTTCGTAGCTTCACAGTATCATGAAACTTTTGCAGTTAGAATGCGTATTGCTTATGTGATGTCAAACAACCATTTTAGCGCTTTCACTCCAACTTACAATACAGTATGCTGCACAATAATGTACAGTACAATACCGTAGTACTGTACTAGCATGCAGTAGACAGGTACTCTCCTATGTATGCCATATAGTACACTGCAGTACTGTATGCAATAATTATCGGAACGTTGCTGTCCTGCGAGGTGTCTGCATTGGTGCAAAATGCCGTTATGCAACAAATCGCAGCAGCTACCAAGCAGCAGAACGAGAAAATGGTTCGCAAAAACCATGCTACTTTTGTGAAAAAGCCAGTTCCTGCTGATGGCCTTTGTTGCTACCATAGCGTCTTGGCCAATCTGAAATATGACACCTGGTGTAAAATACCCCGTCATTCCAGTGGCTATGCCAAAAACAATCGCACTGTAAAACGAGAGGAAGAAAATGCCACAGAACTACGGGAGTTGGCACTATCTCTTACCCCTGGACATGACGAATTGCTTCAGCAACTTGCTGATCGAGTGTCTGAACGATGTTACGTTGATATCGTGGAATTATCATGGCTCGGGCAAGTTTTGAATCTGGCAATTCGATGCACGATTTCAGATGAGGCCTGGTTTGCCAACCGGCACAACATTTTTGTGCAGTTAGAATATGTTTGTGACCACCAACATTTGACATGCATCGTTTCCTATGATTCCATTCGCTTATAATATATATATATATAATGAAAAACATCAACGAGCTCCATCAGCGATATACAATGAAAAACACATGCAACCAATACTGATGCAAATGACTTCTTGACTGTTTCGAGTACGGCAATGAAAGTACAGATAGTACAATACAGTACATACCAACACAGTACAGCACTTCCTGTACAGTACTGAAATTCAGCTGGTTCATTGCTCCTGTGAGGTCTTCGAATGGATGAGCTCTACTACCATGAATTTACAGCAGGATGCTATCTATGGTAAAGATCGTGAACCTGATGTGCATCTTTTTTTCTCATGGATTCTCAACGAAGACACCCAGGTCAAATTTACACATTATGAGGTGCTACGATATGTTGATCCAGAGGGTGAACAACCAGCACCGTGTGATGTGACTATGTTGTTGCCAGTCAAGGTTCCGTTTCATCCCCTTACTTCAGCCGATTTGCTTTATGACGAATTTCCCATACACCTGCTCCAAGACACAGAACAAGCAGCTGAACAACCACAAAACCAGTTGGAAAACTATGGGCAGCAAACAGCTGACCAGAAACACCACGAGAAATCAGATGCCAGCCCGACAGAGCCACAACAAGGTGGAGCAGCACCAGCACCAGAGCAGGTTGAACAACATGGGGAAACATCCCCAACAGATCAGCACAACGCAGAACCAGAAGCCAGCAAGGCAGAAGACACATCTCCAAAAGCATTGCCTGCGGAGAAGGCAGAGCATACATCTCAGCTTCCAAGCAACACAGCAGAAGCCAGCCCGACAGAGCCACAACAAGGTGGAGCAGCACCAGCACCAGAGCAGGTTGAACAACATGGGGAAACATCCCCAACAGATCAGCACAACGCAGAACCAGAAGCCAGCAAGGCAGAAGACACATCTCCAAAAGCATTGCCTGCGGAGAAGGCAGAGCATACATCTCAGCTTCCAAGCAACACAGCAGAAGCCAGCCCGACAGAGCCACAACAAGGTGGAGCAGCACCAGCACCAGAGCAGGTTGAACAACATGGGGAAACATCCCCAACAGATCAGCACAACGCAGAACCAGAAGCCAGCAAGGCAGAAGACACATCTCCAAAAGCATTGCCTGCGGAGAAGGCAGAGCATACATCTCAGCTTCCAAGCAACACAGCAGAAGCCAGCCCGACAGAGCCACAACAAGGTGGAGCAGCACCAGCACCAGAGCAGGTTGAACAACATGGGGAAACATCCTCAACAGATCAGCACAACGCAGAACCAGAAGCCAGCAAGGCAGAAGACACATCTCCAAAAGCATTGCCTGCGGAGAAGGCAGAGCATACATCTCAACTTCCGAGCAACACAGCAGAAGCCAGCCCGACAGAGCCACAACAAGGTGGAGCAGCACCAGCACCAGAGCAGGTTGAACAACATGGGGAAACATCCTCAACAGATCAGCACAACGCAGAACCAGAAGCCAGCAAGGCAGAAGACACATCTCCAAAAGCATTGCCTGCGGAGAAGGCAGAGCATACATCTCAGCTTTCGAGCAACACAGCAGAAGCAAGCCCGACAGAGCCACAACAAGGTGGAGCAGCACCAGCACCAGAGCATGTTGAACAACATGGGGAAACATCCCCAACATATCAGCACAACGCAGAACCAGAAGCCAGCAAGGCAGAAGACACATCTCCAAAAGCATTGCCTGCGGAGAAGGCAGAGCATACATCTCAGCTTTCGAGCAACACAGCAGAAGCAAGCCCGACAGAGCCACAACAAGGTGGAGCAGCACCAGCACCAGAGCATGTTGAACAACATGGGGAAACATCCCCAACATATCAGCACAACGCAGAACCAGAAGCCAGCAAGGCAGAAGACACATCTCCAAAAGCATTGCCTGCGGAGAAGGCAGAGCATACATCTCAGCTTTCGAGCAACACAGCAGAAGCAAGCCCGACAGAGCCACAACAAGGTGGAGCAGCACCAGCACCAGAGCATGTTGAACAACATGGGGAAACATCCCCAACATATCAGCACAACGCAGAACCAGAAGCCAGCAAGGCAGAAGACACATCTCCAAAAGCATTGCCTGCGGAGAAGGCAGAGCATACATCTCAGCTTTCGAGCAACACAGCAGAAGCAAGCCCGACAGAGCCACAACAAGGTGGAGCAGCACCAGCACCAGAGCATGTTGAACAACATGGGGAAACATCCCCAACAGATCAGCACAACGCAGAACCAGAAGCCAGCAAGGCAAAAGACACCCCTCCACAGCAGGATAGGGATGGCATGGTGCATGCTGTCAGGATGGCATCCGAAGTCTTTGACAAAATAGTTCAATGTCAACAGTCTGGAATCTCTTCTTGGATTTTCACTTGGAAACCCAACATGAAAAATTCACAGACTTGTGTGCTTTGTGGAGTCCGGTCAACACCGTGTTCTTGGTCAGTGTACCATTTCTGCGGTTAAAGTCATTGACACCTTCGGTGATTTGCGGAGCTCAAATGCCTTCCAGAACGCATCTACACAGCTGAAGGCAACGTGGCGAACACGTGCCTTTGTCGGCACAAACGTGTGTGTGAACAAATTTTTTGGTTGAAATTTACTGTATTGTACTAGCATTTTTGGGGCCTAGTGATGCAGTTAGAATTTGTGATGTGGGTTTCCATATGTTTTCCATCATCATTTACTGTACCATAGAATACAAAATGGTGTCAACCAGGGGTTACATCACGGAAAACATGAATACAAATGAATTTCAATGTGAACATATACAGTACAATATACAGTACTGTACAGTATTGTTTTTCGGATTGAACATTATCAATATCCATGGGTGTAATCATGCAGATAGAATATGAGACAAATGTGATATGGATTTCCATATGTTTCACATCATCATTTACAGTACAGTACATATTGTAATGGAGTCCACATTACTCACAGCATTTGAATCAGGGGTCACATCACGGAAAACATGAATACAAATGGATTTCAGTGTGAACATAAACTGTATACTGTACTGTACAGTATTGTTTTTCGGATTGAAAATTATCAATATCCATGGGTGTAATCATGCAGTTAGAATATGATACAAATGTGATATGGGTTTCCATATGTTTCACATCATCATTTACAGTACAGTACATATTGTACTGTAATGGAGTCCACATTACTCACAGCAATTGAATCAGGGGTCACATCACGGAAAACATGAATACAAATGGATTTCAGTGTGAACATATATACTGTACAGTATTGTTTTTCGGGTTGAACATTATCAATATCCATGGGTGCAATCATGCAGTTAGAATATGATACAAATGGGATATGTGTTTCCATATGTTTCCTATCATCATTTACAGTACAGTACATAATGAAGTCCACATTACTGACAACATTTGAACCGGGGATCACATCACGGAAAGCATGAATCCAAATGGATTTCAATGTGAACATATATACTATACAGTACTGTACTGTTTTTCAGGTTGAAAATCATCAATATCCATGGGGCGTAATCATGCAGTTAGAATATGATACACATGGGATATGGGTTTCCATATGTATCCCATCATCATTTACAATACAGTACATACTGTAATGGAGTCCACATTATTCACAGCATTTGAACCAGGGGTCTTTTCAAAACACACCATTACCATACGTTATATCGAAGCACATTGGCTCCGGCTCTCGCTCATTGGCATTTGCTCAATCGATCCTACCCTTCTGTGGGACCTTGTTCTTGCAGTACAGAGCTACAGCTCCTACTTCGTGAGGATCATGATTAGGCCTCCTGTTCCTCTACCTCTAGAAGTGATTCGTGAGCGGGGGTTGCCACATATGAGTGCCGATACAGGCATTCGAAACCCCGGTAATCCAACAAACCGTTTCATCGATTCCTTGGGTACGAAGAGAAAAGTTAATTGGGACAGCCCAGTGGTCCGAAGGACGTGGATCATTCGAGATACGAATCCGGAGTGGGTTTCCCCACAGTTTAACCGTACACCTCCTCGGGGTGGAAGCTATTTGCCAGCTGCAAAAAAATGCAAGACTGAGCATGATTCAGAGAGAAGCCAGAGTTCTGGCAGCAAAAGCAGCAGCCAGAGCACCGGCAGTAAAGTTATGACACTTGATGATAGAATCAAGCGGCTTCTTGGAGGTGCTTAATCTCAGGGGAGATCAATTCTTGTGAGCAATCTGTATCGTAATTATTGTGTAATATTGTAGGTACTGTATTCAATACAATAATGCTACTGTATGTATGTTCTATACTGTATTGTACATTACAGCACTAGGTTTGTGGCTGAGCATTGAAAAACCCAGCAACTCCATTCAATTGTGTGTGAAGTATCCGCTCATGGGCAGCTGACACTGTGGTTTTTGTCGGCTGACTAGTGGCTGGAGGTGACTGAAACCTGTTCACTTTCCCACTGGTTTTTAGGAGCAGCAGAAATTTGGTCACATACATTACTGTACTGTACAGCAGTTGCACAATCCTTTTGCATTCAGCCGCTTTCAAAAGAACCAAGGGGGGGGGCTGATCTGGATACAGTACAGTACTTGCACTGCCATGAAGTTTCCAACTGGATATGGTACTGTGCAATCCTTTTTTTGTAAATCCACGAAAGTACAGTACTATACGGTAAAGAACATCAAGTTTTTTATTGTGCTTCTGTACTGTATACAGTATACAGTAGTACAGTACTGTACAGTAACGATACTTTTGTATACTTTTGTACAGTATATATGTTTGCTGTTTCAATGCGGTATTGGGGGATTCAATGCAGTTAGAATATATGGCAACATATTGTACAGTATACTTTACATCATCTCTACATGAATGGTCATGTCCGTATCTCACTGGTATGATTGTAAAACCATAATCCTGAAGGATACGGTTCATTTTGTGACTCACTGAGGCGTTACGAAGGACAAGAAACTCCTGTACCTCTGGAGACTGGAAGCGATTAATGTGTTTGCATCACCTATGCTGGCGCAGACATGGAAGGGAAAAACAACACTTGTACGACGCAGTGACATGGTGACTTTCAGTGGAAACATTCCAGAGATGAGCCTACAAGCAACCACCGAATTTTTCGTGAACCGACTATCTAGCAACGACAAGAAGAAACTAGCTGCAACATTGAGGTCTTTGAATGGCAAAACTATCAAAATTGGCACAACCTGCAGCGGCACTGATGTTATCGTGCCAGTTATATCCTGTACATTCGCTGCGTTGTCTCGCATGTTCAACGTAGCTCGCCAAGATACTGTAAAGATAAGTGCATTGTGTTTTCCATTACTGTACTGTATACTGTACACTACTTACTATACTGTACTGTAACTGTTTTCGTTTTAAATTAATGTACAGTACTGGGGAAGTAGTGCAGATAGAATATGTATGCACATACAATGTTGCATCATGTTACCACTGTGCTTGCCACCACCACAGGTATCCATCTATGCTGAGCACGTATTCAGTGTCGAGAGTGTAGACTCGAAACGGAAATTCATCATGGCCGCTCACGGACGGGACATGCATCTCTTTGGTGATGTAGCAATCTTTGCGGCCGAGAATGTCGATTCCAACCACTACTGTTACACATGTGAACAATCTCATCCTGTCCCCACTTCTGTTGATATTTTGGCAACTGGTCCATCCTGCAAGAGTCTCAGTTTGATGTTTGCTCAGCGCGATGAGTACAAAGACTGTTTCTTGTCTCGACTTACAGTATACAGTACTGTACAATGTGTTTACTGTATGTTTTCCCACTAGAGTTTACAGTACAGTACAGTAAACAGTAGCATTACAGTACAATATACTGTACAGTACAGTAATTTGATATATATACAGTACTGTACTGTACATTGCCCTCATGACAAATGTTTTTACACTCGGTAGTGTTATTGTAATGGTTCAACAAAATATGGTTCAACCTTTGATTCTTTTGAACCATGCCACCACACCAAAGGTTACATTGATGGAACGGGATGCTCTGGATTTACCTACAAACATGGGGTGAAGGATGCAGTAGAAAGAACATCACCGGCCGTTGTCATGTTCGAGAATGTGACTCCTATTGCTGATCAACGGAAAGATTCTTATGGCAACAAAATGCCACCTGCTGTTGAGGTCAGAACGGGTCAAAAATTCAATTATTGTTTTGATACAAAGATACAAACTCTAGTACAGTATGTTGATAGCAATCACTGCATCCGACTGAAATTCTATCTGCTCATCATTGACAATGCCATACAAGGAATAAATTACGTACTGTACAACCAATTACAGTACTGTATTCTGTATACATTATACAATCTGTTCAAACTGCAGTACCCTTCAGGCATTGATTGCAGATCTCAACAGCCTTGGGTATGTTTTCCAATATTCAAAACTGGATGCCAAAAACTACCTGTTGACACAGCGGAGAAACCGTGTCTACGGCCTTGGTGATTTAAATGAAGGGCAAGACATCACTGCTTTTCGAGAGAATATGCGTACAACACTGTTGGCATTGTCATCAGACATTAGGTTTCCGTTCGAAACAGTTTTTGACCAATCTCTTCCTAGAACAACATTGCGGGGAAATGCCCAAGCGAAAGTGGAGGAAGCAATTGCAAAAAACGTGCTTGAGAACCAGTCAGGGAACCTCTTTATTGACACGTCAACATCTGCGCAACGGCAGGCAGAGTGTGCTATAGGGGTTGCCACCTGTATTCGCCCTTCTCATCCCATATGGAGTGTGCAGCTATCTAGGTACTTGACGGTGGCAGAGATGTTTCGCTGTCAGGGACTTTGGGAAGGTGATTTCCAGCACCCACAGGCTATCAGGGACGTCATGAAAGATCCAGCGCAAGCTCAAGATCTCGCGGGCAATGCGTTTGCGAGTACATGTGCGCAAGCACAGCTCTTGGCAAGCCTAGTCAACGCATGTGGATGGTATCGAGTTCAAAGCCCGAAAAGTGAAGAGGAATCATCAGTGCAACAGTTTGGTTTCCGACATTCATTGAGTTCAGGCTCCATTGGGTTTGATGATTCCAACACCAGTGAGGCTGAGTCTACCCAGAGCAAGCCACTTCAGCAACCAAAGAATCCTTCAATAGACCAGTTTTTGATTCCTGAGCCTCCACACAAGAGAAGACGTTTCCTCCAAGCACCAGCTGCGAAACCATTCCAGGCCGGTTCTTTTTACAGTACAGTAACGGAATTTACAATTCCCACCACAATGAGAGTGCAGATAGAATATATATAATACTGTATGTTACAAATACAGTACAGTACAAAACTGTAATCTGTATGTTTGAACAAACTGTACTTGGTTACAGTATACAGTAGTACTGGACAGTACTGTACAAATTTTTGTTTCTATGCGGTAGTGAACCAATCATTTTCACTGGCCAGGAAACCTCTACCGACATGACTGACGAGCAGAAGCAAATCTTCTGGGACCACTTTAAGGTGCTTGATGAGAACCGTGTGAAATTTCACAAGCCACCGGCAAACTGGAAACCACCAGACGTACGTGACATGAGTGACAAGGAATTGCAAGCATATTGGGATGCCTTTCGCCACATCATGACAAAAGTATCAAATGCATCACAACAAGAACAGCCTGATTCAAGCCAAGAGGATGAAGACAAAAGGATTGTTCTCGCTGACCATGACCAACTAGATATTGCACAACAACATGATCAGCATGATGCATGTGCTTCAGAACCACCAGCCAAACGAGTATGCGTACGTGTCAAGGGCAAGACCAATCCTGCTATTGTGGATGAGCGTAGCGCTGCAAGGCTTCAGAAGCTCTTGGTATCCAAAACCAAGCAACGAAAGGAAAAACCCAACGCCGTGCAAAAGCGTAACTACAAGCAATCAGCCAAAGTTTCCCGGGAAGGGAAGCGCTCCTGCATATCGATTTGGGCAAAAGTTCAGCTCTTCAAAGAAACTCGGATATCGATTTATATACTGTATTGTAAATCATTTATTGACAAAAATGCTTTTGTAGCTACAATGCTGTAAATCATTTATTGGACGTCAATCCATATCCATGGATTCCTTTGGATCATATTCTAACTGCAGGTCGCTTCCTGTAGTTACAAGCAAATTCATTATCCGGAAACACATCACATGTACAGTAGGCGATAGATTTGAATTGAACCCAGCTTGTCTACCCTGACGCTGCTAAGGAGTTCGAGAAACTACGAGAAGATGGGACGATCAAGTTTCCGGAAAAGCACTTCCACCAAACTAGAAGGAAGGCTGGTGCCTATCAAGGGTGTTTCTCGAAATCACATTGGGGCCACAAAAGAATTGCTCACAAATGGGATCTATTTTGTGAAATTGCTCCACGCCAAGCAAAAATCATGAGTGAGATCCCGAATCACCTGAAGCGTGTATTGGGCATTGAGGAGCTCAAGCATAACAATAGCAAGTACAAGATGGAGAATGGTTCTCACCAAATACCAAAACCAATGATGGAAGCCATGGAAAATATCCTTATGGAGAGAATCCATCTAGGAGAAGAAGTGACAATTGGTTTCTGCGCATCGGTGTTAGCCAAGATGGTTGACGTTTGGAATGAAAACATAGAAAAATTGAAACCCGAAGTTGAACATTTTGTTGGTCAGAACCTGTTGAAAGAACAAGATCAACAAATGCCTGATGATGTGACTGAGTCAGAGATTGGTGTCAGACAGAAGCATGCTACAGAAGGACTTGAGGCAGTGCTGCGGTCCTTACGGCCAATCGTAGCGAAGGAAAATTACAAGTCACTTGAGATTCTTAGCCGCAATACTGTACAGTGGGAAATAGTGCCGATAAAGATGCAGTATTGCAAGATGATACAACATATGTTTTTGTTTGTTTTTTCTGGATGAAACTTCATGAGGAACTACTGTGCAGCATGGGTACTATTGTGCAGATAGAATATATATACAGTATATATATATATACAGTATATACTGTAGTGATTTCTACAAATCAAACATCGAAATGAATTTGTTCATATTTGGATATTTTGGACATCATTTATGTATGCATGACTGTACTATACAGTGCAACAATACAGTAATTACTTTAGATTACAGTATATACTGTATATCTTCGGCTCCGATCATGCTGAGGAAGTGCGCACATAGACTTGCTGGAAAACTCGGTCTCAGGGGCTCGGCAGTTTCAAAACAAACTCGGCACTTGCCATATGATGCTGCATCGATGGCAGTGGTGAGGGATTGGGTCGCGATGATGATTCATGAAAAGCAAATACATCCCAAGTTGATATGTCATTTTGACCAAGTCTGGACTGTACACAATGAGCCTGCAAAGCGAGTGCTCTTTAAGCCCCAAGAATCCAAAGGAGTTCATGCCAAGGAGTTTGCCAATAAGCCTTCGATTCAAAAAATGCTGGAATCAATAAGAGCTGCATTGTCACTACCACCCATGTATCCATCAACTGGTGAAAAGAAAAGTGGCCCGAAGATCCCGAACCTGTGCGCACAGAGCACGTTGGTGCCCGTGGAGTACCAACGTCAATCCCGTACAACGACTACGCTGAGCTTTAGCGATGGGACACTCGGGGCTGCCTACATCACAGCATCATCTACGGCAATGTCAGATGCTTAGGATTTTCATACTACAGTACAATCTAAAATACGATGGTATGGGGGTTTGGATGCAGTTAGAATTTAGATCAACTCAACCCACACGAAGATGAGTGCATACATCTTAAAGTAATGCGGGGTTTCCTTAAAGGAAGGTACCACAAAACTTCGCAGAAAAAAAACAATATTGTACAGTATATTATTTTAGCATTGGAACCAATGGTTTTGGTGTACCATCATGTAAGGAAACCTCCACATCTGAAAGATTCTGATTGTAATTTGGTCATCACTTTGGATATGTTTTGGCAAACATTATGTGTTCACATTATCACTACTGTACAGTAATCTTTTCTGAACAATCTAAAATACGATGGTATGGGGGTTTGGATGCAGTTAGAATTTAGATCAACTCAACCCACCCGAAGATGAGTGCATACATCTTAAAGTATTGAGGGGTTTCCTTAAAGGAAGGTACCACAAAACTCCGCAGAAAAAAAACAATATTGTACAGTATATTATTTTAGCATTGGAACCAATGGTTTTGGTGTACCACCATGTAAGGAAACCTTCACATCTGAAAGATTCTGATTGTAATCTGGTCATCACTTTGGATATGTTTTGGCAAACATTATGTATTCACATTATCACTAATCTTTTCTGAACAATCTAAAATACGATGGTATGGGGGTTTGGATGCAGTTAGAATTTAGATCAACTCAACCCACCCGAAGATGAGTGCATACATCTTAAAGTATTGAGGGGTTTCCTTAAAGGAAGGTACCACAAAACTCCGCAGAAAAAAACAATATTGTACAGTATATTATTTTAGCATTGGAACCAATGGTTTTGGTGTACCACCATGTAAGGAAACCTTCACATCTGAAAGATTCTGATTGTAATCTGGTCATCACTTTGGATATGTTTTGGCAAACATTATGTATTCACATTATCACTAATCTTTTCTGAACAATCTAAAATACGATGGTATGGGGGTTTGGATGCAGTTAGAATTTAGATCAACTCAACCCACCCGAAGATGAGTGCATACATCTTAAAGTATTGAGGGGTTTCCTTAAAGGAAGGTACCACAAAACTCCGCAGAAAAAAACAATATTGTACAGTATATTATTTTAGCATTGGAACCAATGGTTTTGGTGTACCACCATGTAAGGAAACCTCCACATCTGAAAGATTCTGATTGTAATCTGGTCATCACTTTGGATATGTTTTGGCAAACATTATGTATTCACATTATCACTAATCTTTTCTGAACAATCTAAAATACGATGGTATGGGGATTTGGATGCAGTTAGAATTTAGATCAACTCAACCCACCCGAAGATGAGTGCATACATCTTAAAGTATTGAGGGGTTTCCTTAAAGGAAGGTACCACAAAACTCCGCAGAAAAAAACAATATTGTACAGTATATTATTTTAGCATTGGAACCAATGGTTTTGGTGTACCATCATTTAAGGAAACCTCCACATCTGAAAGATTCTGATTGTAATCTGGTCATCACTTTGGATATGTTTTGGCAAACATTATGTATTCACATTATTACTACTGTAATCTTTTCTGAACAATCTAAAATACGATGGTATGGGGGTTTGGATGCAGTTAGAATTTATATCAACTCAACCCAGCCGAAGATGAGTGCATACATCTTAAAGTAATGCGGGGTTTCCTTAAAGGAAGGTACCACAAAACTTCGCAGAAAAAACAATATTGTATATTATTTTAGCATTGGAACCGATGGTTTTGGTGTACCATCATGTAAGGAAACCTCCACATCTGAAAGATTCTGATTGTAATCTGGTCATCACTTTGGATATGTTTTGGCAAACATTATGTGTTCACATTATCACTACTGTACAGTAATCTTTTCTGAACAATCTAAAATACGATGGTATGGGGGTTTGGATGCAGTTAGAATTTAGATCAACTCAACCCAGCCGAAGATGAGTGCATACATCTTAAAGTATTGAGGGGTTTCCTTAAAGGAAGGTACCACAAAACTTCGCAAAAAAACAATATTGTATATTATTTTAGCATTGGAACCGATGGTTTTGGTGTACCACCATGTAAGGAAACCTCCACATCTGAAAGATTCTGATTGTAATCTGGTCATCACTTTGGATATGTTTTGGCAAACATTATGTGTTCACATTATCACTGATCTTTTCTGAACAATCTAAAATACGATGGTATGGGGGGTTTGGATGCAGTTAGAATTTATATCAACTCAACCCAGCCGAAGATATTAAAGTATTGAGGTGTTGCCTTAAAGGGAAGTACCACAAAACATCGCAGGAAAAACAGTAACGTACAGTATATTATTTTAGCATTGACACTGTTGGCTTCTGTGTTACAATATGTACCACCATGTAAGGAAACCTCCACATCTGAAAGATGTTGATCGTCCTGCACTGTAATTATAATTATTTCATCATTGTGGATATTTACTGTACAATATTGCAAAACATATCATCATTTGTTAACATTATCATTGAACTTTTCTGATGAACTACAATACGATGGTATGGGGGTTTGAGTGCAGTTAGAATTTCTCCCTTAGTTGGTTTTCTTAGGTCGGAGAGTGTGGCAAAGAAGATGAACGATGAACTCAAAGGTGTGCTCCACATATCCCTACATCATCTTGCATGCCACAGTCATATGTGGAACTCGGATACACTATGTCATTACCTAGACTTTCTCAAATTCGAAATTCACCGGAGAAGGGTTGCTTTGGGACTTCGATTTGAAGATCGAGCGCTGGTTTTGTGTGATGCTGCAGCTGTTCATTCGACAGCATTTTATCAAAAAATTAGAGAACGTTTCGAAAGAGAAAGCAACAGCATTTTGATACATGGTGGCACAGTGATCAGTGACGGCAGCACCCCCACCCGCCCGACAATCCCGGGCGGGTGGGGGGCTGCCGGAGGACCAAACGACGCATTTCATCAGTGGTTCCATTTCCTACGTCGTGGATGGATGAGGGTAGCAACAGGCATGGCTTCAAGCACCAAGATCCGCAAAGCGCTGGCTGACTTAGATTTGTCAGTGGATGGGAACACGCGAATGACGTTGCTCACTTCTGCTTCAGTAAGCATTTCAGTACAGTATGTTACAGTACTCAAATATTGTATCATAAAGCTGGGGTTTCCATGCAGATAGAATATGGTGTTAAACAACAACCACCACAACAAAAAATGTCACCAAATGGTGTTGGTTTCAAATTAGTTGACTATGGAAAATTATTGGATGATCCTATCTGATTGCATGTTCCTACAGTGTTCATTTTTTGCTGGTTTCTACTGTGCTGTCATACCAAACACACAAGGTTGACTATGGAAAATTCTATCAGAGCTGATGCATGGGCATTATCCAGGCTGAAGGAATATCAGTCTGGCAAATTGATTCTATGGAGCTGGGTTACCAGAGGCTATGTAACCATGGAACAGGTGGCCGAGTGGTACTTTGACTCCGATGTTGATGCTGCCACCACCGCATTGTCTTCAACCCGTGGTGAAATGAGAAAACTATGCGATGTAGATGAAATACCACATGTGGACACTAGTGAGGAACTAGCTGATTTCAAGCGAGCAGAATCCACAAAGTTTGGTGGAGAAAAGTTTTGCACATGGGCAATTCAAGATCTTGAACATCAAGAACTACCACCCATACATCTACCTGCTTGGTTCCGTAATCCCATTGACAAAGCTGTTATTCGTTGGCAAACGGAGTCAAGGGCATGGGAGAAACAGAGAGAAGATAGGCTACTACAAGGAAAGTGCAATTTTCCACCAAAGAAACAGAAAGCTTTTGAGGAATGGAGTAAAACCCAAGCACGATCCATCGTACTCGACAAAAAACGTCAGGCTCAGGTTGTCAACGTGGCTAACAAGTCCATTGCTAGCCTCAAAAAACACTGTGTGCTGATTGTGCTTCACATGTCGCGTGAAGCAGAAGAGTTGAGAATCAAATCTGGGTCGGGAAAATTGTGGAAGCTTCAGCTCCTTGAATGTTCCGCGCAGCCTGATGAAGCCGTACCCGAAGAGATCGATGACTTTCAAGAAGGACTGCAATACAGTACAGCACTGTATAAAAACAATAGCAGTAGAGTACTGTACAGTATAGAACATGTGTGTTGGTTCCTCCTATATATTCAAACTGCTAGTTTCTCACAGTATACACTGTAGTAATTCAATTTGTTTCAACGTCAAATGAATCGGATTTCAGAATTTGACACTTTTAGTTTTTTGTTTAAATATCTTATTTAAAAATAGCTGTGGTCATGCAGTTAGAATTTATTTTCCACAGGAGACCTTGGTCAAAAACAATAGCAGTAGAGTACTGTACAGTATAGAACATGTGTGTTGGTTCCCCCTATATATTCAAACTGCTAGTTTCTCACAGTATACACTGTAGTAATTCAATTTGTTTCAACGTCAAATGAATTGGATTTCAGAATTTGACACTTTTAGTTTTTTTGTTTAAATGTCTTATTTAAAAATAGCTGGGGTCATGCAGTTAGAATATATTTTCCACAGGAGACCTTGGTCATGAACCAGATGACCATTGCGCTGAAGATCATGGTGATGAAATTGCGCTTGAGGATGCGATTGCTGATGGCATGCATGTGCATGATGGTGTGATGAGTGAACACGATGGTGATGCGCCCTTTCACGAAGACATTGACAAATGGCTGCTCATATGTGACACCGAATCTGAGGGTGAGCCTGAGCCGTTGCCAGAACAAAAACTTTTTGGCAAGGCATGTGTCCGAGTTCGGGCAGTTGAGTCACAGCCAGAATTTCAACGGCTCAAAGATTTGGGTCTTGCTGTTCGTCCTGAGGGTTGTACTTTAGGAATACATCCCGCCAATCGTGTTTGGCGATCATCTAGTGCTAGCTCTTCGCATTTTAGTCGATCATTTGACGGATCGTCAGGAAGGAATTCGTGGCAAGCACTTCTACGCGTAGTGGAAATGATGCTTGAATCATATCTTGATACAAATCCAAAAGACAAGCATGTGAAAGCGCAGCTTGCACAAATCAAGAAGTTGCGTGCTGAAGAACCAGAGCACAAGGATTAGGCACCATACGCTTAAAGATTACTGTACAGTACATAGTACAAACTACAGTAAGATTTTGTTTTTTTGGTTTGATTCAATGAGTCTTTGAAACCATGCATTAGCTAGAACTCAGCATTCTTTTTGTTTCATGCAAAAGCCTTGGATCCACAGTGCTCGTGCGATGATTTCCTATCTGAAGTGAAACAGCATAAGGAGTCGTTGTTTGACTGCAAAATATACAATACTGATATTCTTCATAGTACAAAACCAAATCATTGAATTTATTCAATTCCAATGGTTATTGTGATGGTTTACCGTATCAATATGCATTAGCTGTGCACTTTGGAGTGCAATGCACAGTACAATATCGGGCAATACACTACTTACACGTTTTGTACAGCACATCATAAAATCAAAGACATCGATCGCGGGAAGAAAAATACTGTACTGAGCTGTTGGGCAAATGGTGTTCATGCAGAATGCCGCTTTTGTGGAGAAGAACCTTATATTGGAGTCCATTGCCAACTCGAGAGTATTACCCCAAGCAAGCAATGGTGCCAATTTGATGAGGCTTCAGTGGTCCCGCTTATGGGTGTATATAATCAATTATGTACTGTAAACAACTCGAAGGGAAGTCGGTGAACAAGGTTTTGGATGGTTCGGGAAATTCTAACTGCATTTGGTTTTTTTTCCAAAATCCCATATTCTAACTATGAGATTTTTTTTAAAATGATTTTAGCAAATTCTATCTATTTTACAAAAAATCCATATTCTAACTGCCAGTCGGTTATAGTATATAAGTATATCTTATTGGAATGCTTGTAGCATGCAAGACTGTTTTCAATCCAAACCACTGCAACCACAACTTGAATAGCACAACCTTTGGCGTGGCTTGCCTCAGCTTTTCTTGTTTAAAATGAATGGAACATCAATTCAAATTTAGAACACCTGACACTCAAACCTCTACTCTATTTTTTAGGCGTCCTGTGTGTACCTAAGCTGAAATGAACCACATGAGTGACCCAACACCCCAGCCCACCCACAAGGGTAGCATTGCCCGGTGCTCAAGGTCTCCGACAAAGATGTGGTGATGATGTGTGATGTCACAGGGTCAGTGCAACACATATGCATAGTCTGCATGGTCTGGTGTTTCTGAGCTGCTCAGTGAGAAAACAAATCTAGGCGCCCAGATTTTATATAGAATGGGCTAACGCCCTGGTGCCGCCGACCCCCCCATTAAGGGGGGGCGAGGCAGGGGTCGGCGGAGAGTCACACACATATATCGCCCAGTTGACCGGTGCGATGACTATATAGTCAAGCTTACACAAGATCTGGTTTTAGTGTTTCATTCTTGTTACCCTCTTGGCATTTATGTTTCATTCTTGTTACCCTCTTGGCATGTAGCTGTAAGAGTTGTTGCCTTGGAGGCCTGCGGAAGCGTTTGGAGGGTTTGAGGCCGGGCAAACGGCAGTCTTGAACCTCCTGAAAAACAGATGGCGGGGGCATGTAGCTGTAAGAGTTGTTGCCTTGGAGGCCTGCAGAAGCGTTTGGGGGGTTTGAGGCCGGGCAAACGGCAGTGTTGAACCTCCTGAAAAACAGATGGCAGGGGCATGTAGCTGTAAGAGCTGTTGCCTTGGAGGCCTGCGGAAGCGTCGGAAGCGTTTGGGGGGTTTGAGGCCGGGCAAACGGCAGTCTTGAACCCCCTGAAAAGCAGATGGCAGGGGCATGTAGCTGTAAGAGTTGTTGCCTTGGAGGCCTGCGGAAGGGTTGGAAGCGTTTGGGGGGTGTGAGGCCGGGCAAACGGCAGTCTTGAACCCCCTGAAAAACAGATGGCAAGGGCATGTAGCTGTAAGAGTTGTTGCCTTGGAGGCCTGCGGAAGCGTTTGGAGGGTTTGAGGCCGGGCAAACAGCAGTCTTGAACCTCCTGAAGGACAGATGGCAGGGGCATGTAGCTGTAAGAGTTGTTGCCTTGGAGGCCTGTTGGAAGCGTTTGGGGGGTGTGAGGCCGGGCAAACGGCAGTCTTGAACCCCCTGAAAAACAGATGGCAGGGGCATGTAGCTGTATAGTTGTAGCTGTAAGGGTTGTTGCCTTGGAGGCCTGCGGAAGCGTCGGAAGCGTTTGGGGGGTTTGAGGCCGGGCAAACGGCAGTCTTGAACCCCTGAAAAACAGATGGCAGGGGCATGTAGCTGCAAGAGTTGTTGCCTTGGAGGCCTGCGGAAGGGTTGGAAGCGTCTGGGGGGTTTGAAGCCGGGCAAACGGCAGTCTTGAACCCCCTGAAAAACAGATGGCAGGGGCATGTAGCTGTAAGTAAGAGTTGTTGCCTTGGAGGCCTGCGGAAGCGTCGGAAGCGTTTGGGGGGTTTGAGGCCGGGCAAACGGCAGTCTTGAACCTCCTGAAAAGCAGATGGCAAGGGCATGTAGCTGTAAGAGTTGTTGCCTTGGAGGCCTGCGGAAGCGTTTGGAGGGTTTGAGGGCGGGCAAACGGCAGTCTTGAACCTCCTGAAAAACAGATGGCAGGGGCATGTAGCTGTAAGAGTTGTTGCCTTGGAGGCCTGCGGAAGCGTCGGAAGCGTTTGGGGGGTTTGAGGCCGGGCAAACGGCAGTCTTGAACCCCCTGAAAAACAGATGGCAGGGGCATGTAGTAGCTGTAAGAGTTGTTGCCTTGGAGGCCTTCGGAAGCGTTTGGGGGGTTTGAGGCCGGGCAAACAGCAGTCTTGAACCTCCTGAAAAGCAGATGTCAAGGGCATGTAGCTGTAAGAGTTGTTGCCTTGGAGGCCTGCGGAAGGGTTGGAAGCGTTTGGGGGGTTTGAGGCCGGGCAAACGGCAGTCTTGAACCCCCTGAAAAACAGATGGCAAGGGCATGTAGTAGCTGTAAGAGTTGTTGCCTTGGAGGCTTGCGGAAGCGTTTGGAGGGTTTGAGGCCGGGCAAACGGCAGGCTTGAACCCCCTGACAAACAGGTGGCAGGGGCATGTAGCTGTAAGAGTTGTTGCTTTGGAGGCCTGCCGAAGCGTTTGGAGGGTTTGAGGCCGGGCAAACGGCAGGCTTGAACCCCCTGAAAAACAGATGGCAGGGGCATGTAGCTGTAAGAGTTGTTGCCTTGGAGGCCTGCGGAAGCGTCGGAAGCGTTTGGGGGGTTTGAGGCCGGGCAAACGGCAGTCTTGAACCTCCTGAAAAGCAGATGGCAAGGGCATGTAGCTGTAAGAGTTGTTGCCTTGGAGGCCTGCGGAAGCGTTTGGAGGGTTTGAGGCCGGGCAAACGGCAGTCTTGAACCCCCTGAAAAACAGATGGCAGGGGCATGTAGCTGTAAGAGTTGTTGCCTTGGAGGCCTACGGAAGCGTTTGGGGGGTTTGAGGCCGGGCAAACGGCAGTCTTGAACCCCCTGAAAAGCAGATGGCAGGGGCATGTAGCTGTAAGGGTTGTTGCCTTGGAGGCCTGCGGAGAGTTTGGAGGGTTTGAGGCCGGGCAAACGGCAGGGGCATGTAGATGGCTGGGGCATGTAGCTGACAGAGGTGTTGCCTTGATGGCGTGTGCCTTTGCTTGCGACCCGAGAGCCAAGTTCCACACCTCCGGTGGTCCCAGGCACCGCCCCTGCCTTGGCAAAGGCCGGGGTCGGCGGATATAAGATTGCATTATATTGCCAAAATGGAATGCTGATACGATGTCTACGCACCTATAGACGTACCACTTGCCTACACTCTCCACAAACGACATGCATGGCGGGCATACCTATGCGTGGGGGGAAATGGGGTTTGAACACTGGACCACACGCGCATTTTCTTGACCCCATATTTGGGAATATCTTACATCTGTGGCCAATACTTGAAATGAATACAATCTACAGATTAAAAAATCCAAGGTTTTGGGTTGACTGTTGACCATGGACGAAGTTTATGCATTGTATGGTAATAACAATAGTTATATACATACATACATACATACATACATACACATACTGTATATTATATATACCCATAGATGTGACGTATGCTTGCACAAAACGCGCTTGGTCTTGCATTGCTCACATGAATCTTGCCACACACCCTTCACCCAAAACCCATAAACCTTAAACTGGTTTCTGCATCCTTCGATTTTCTTCCAGAGCCTGCGGTTTGGTTTGTGACGCCACAACAAAAAAACATGGCCATATTTTTCTTCCTGGAGTGGGGCCTGACAAGCCGTCAGGTGCAGCAGGCCTCTGCTCAACAGAAAGCAGCACTTGAGTCTCAGGCAGGAAGAGACTCGAATCTCAAAACAGTTTGCGTAATTTGCCTTGTTTTTTTTTAGACATAGTGTTCTTACCCCTTCCACTTTCATGGCTTTATTGCCAGTTAATGTATATAGTTTTCATCGTCTTCCAAGTGTCCTCTTGCGATGGCAGAAGTCCCCAAGGTCTGAGGTCTGGTTGGAGGTCTCCAGTCGTTCAAAGACGTTAAAAGCGGAGTCCCTTTTGTTCATGTGCAGATGTTGAAACTGTGGGAAGGATCTAAGGATTTGTGTGCCGAACAGCACTTGATGGGGTGGGGACAGTTGACTCAATCGGTCTGAAACGTCTGAATCCTTATGATTCCTTTCACAGTTTTTTCTTATGCTGCCCTGTGCGCCCAAGTTTGCAGGCCATGCAGCTCGTGATGGAGTATCAGCAAAAGCGGCCAGGAGCCTGGACCGATTGAGGCTGAACAGACATATTGTGGATTGCCTTCACATTGCCTTCGCATGGAACATTTAGGCAAACACTTTGCAAATGCTCGGATCAAGACCAAGCTACAGCATCAGCATCCTCTAGCTTTGAGAGTCGTAAACCAATGCACACTCTCTCAAAACAAGATTCCAGAAGTGTGATTTGGGGATAGATCAAGCATTGTTGCTATCAGACGTCAGACTTATCAGCCTTGTCTGCTTTTTTGTGCGTTGCGAGATTCTTGTTTTGCAAACAACCATGCGGAGCGGGCTTTGAAGCTTTGATTCTCATTAAAGCACTCAAGTGTTTGCTGATCCGGGTACTTCGACATGCAGGAAAATGTCCGCAATGTGAGTGTGAGTGACAATGTGCATATCTTGTCTGATGACATACTTGTGGGAGCCCAGATTCTGCATTAATCTTTTTCCCCACATCTTTGTGTGGGGTTCTTGTTTTTGATTCTGTATCCCGGGCTCCTCCGCCTTCTCCTCCTCCGCCCTCCTCCACACTTTGTCACCACACACTTGTCCACACACCCTTTGTCACCACACCCTTTGTCACCACACATTGTCAACACACACTTTGTCCACACACACTTTGTCACCACACACTTTGTCACCACACATTGTCAACACACACTTTGTCAACACACACTTTGTCACCAAACACTTTGTCCACACACACTTTGTCCACACACACTTTACACACTTTGTCAACACACACTTTGTCACCAAACACTTTGTCCACACACACTTTGTCCACACACACTTTGTCCACACACACTTTGTCCACACACACTTTGTCCACACACACTTTGTCACCACACACTTTGTCCACACACACTTTGTCACCAAACACTTTGTCCACACACACTTTGTCCACACACACTTTGTCACCACACACTTTGTGAACACACTTTATCAACACAAACTTTGTCAACACACACTTTGTCACCAAACACTTTGTCCACACACACTTTGTCCACACACACTTTGTCACCACACACTTTGTCCACACACACTTTGTCACCAAACACTTTGTCCACACACACTTTGTCCACACCTTCGTTTCACGTGGCAGGCGTGGCACAATCTCACATCTACCGTCGTTTTGCGTGGCAGGCGTGCCACTTATGGTACTGGGTGGCGCCCTTGGGCCGGGATTTGGCGCCGGGGCGCCGCGCCACTTTGCGTGGCAGGCGTGGCACAACCTGACATCCACCTTCGTTTCACGTGGCAGGCGTGGCACAACCTGACATCCACCTTCGTTTTGCGTGGCAGGCGTGGGACAGATGGCACTGGGTGGCGCGCTTGGTCCGGATTTGTCGCCCGGGGCGCCGCGCCACTTTGCGTGGCAGGCATGGCACTTGGTGAAATCCACCTTCGTTTCACGTGGCAGGCGTGGCACAAACTCACATCCACCGTCGTTTTGCGTGGCAGGCGTGGCACTCATGGTACTGTGTGGCGCGCTTGGTCCGGATTTGTCGCCCGGGGCGCCGCGCAACTTTGCGTGGCAGGCGTGGCACTTGGTGACATCCACCTTCGTTTCATGTGGCAGGCGTGGCACAAACTCACATCCACCGTCGTTTTGTGTGGCAGGCGTGGCACTCATGGTACTGTGTGGCGCGCTTGGTCCGGATTTGTCGCCCGGGGCGCCGCGTCACTTTGCGTGGCAGGCGTGGCACTTGGTGACATCCACCTTCGTTTCACGTGGCAGACGTGGCACAAACTCACATCCACCGTCGTTTTGCGTGGCAGGCGTGGCACTCATGGTACTGTGTGGCGCGCTTGGTCCGGATTTGTCGCCCGGGGCGCCGCGTCACTTTGCGTGGCAGGCGTGGCACTTGGTGACATCCACCTTCGTTTCACGTGGCAGACGTGGCACAAACTCACATCCACCATCGTTTTGCGTGGCAGGCGTGGCACTCATGGTACTGTGTGGCGCGCTTGGTCCGGATTTGTCGCCCGGGGCGCCGCGTCACTTTGCGTGGCAGGCGTGGCACTTGGTGACATCCACCTTCGTTTCACGTGGCAGACGTGGCACAACCTGACATCCACCGTCGTTTTGCGTGGCAGGCGTGGCACTCATGGTACTGTGTGGCGCGCTTGGTCCGGATTTGTCGCCCGGGGCGCCGCGTCACTTTGCGTGGCAGGCGTGGCACTTGGTGACATCCACCTTCGTTTCACGTGGCAGACGTGGCACAAACTCACATCCACCATCGTTTTGCGTGGCAGGCGTGACACTCATGGTACTGTGTGGCGCGCTTGGTCCGGATTTGTCGCCCGGGGCGCCGCGCCACTTTGCGTGGCAGGCGTGGCACTTGGTGACATCCACCTTCGTTTCACGTGGCAGGCGTGGCACAAACTCACATCCACTGTCGTTTTGCGTGGCAGGCGTGGCACCAGCTTTGACACACCCTCTTTCACACACCACTTTGTCACACACCATCTTTCGCACACCATCTTTCACACCCAACTTTGTCACCCACCATCTTTCACGCACCATCTTTCACACACCACATTGTCACCCACCATCTTTGACACACCCTCTTTTACACACCATCTTTGTAACACACCATCTTTCACACACCATCTTTTACACCCAACTTTGTCAAACAGCATCTTTGACACACCAAGTTTCACACACCGCTTTGTCACACACCACTTTGTCACACCATCTTTCACCACACCATCTTCCACACACCATCTTTCACCACCCCATTTTTCACACACAACTTTGTCACACACACCATCTTTGACACACCATCTTTCACACAGCACTTTGCCACACACCGTCTTTCACACACAACTTTGTCACATGCTCTCTTTCACACAGGACTTTCACCCACACCATCTTTCAGCACACCATCCTTCACACACCACTTTGTCACACACCATCTTTCACCACACCATCCTTCACACACAACTTTGTCACACACCGACCATCTTTCGCCACACCATCTTTCACACACCACTTTGTCACACACCATCTTTCACACACAACTTTGTCACACACTCTCTTTCACACACAACTTTCACACACGCCATCTTTCACACACTGCTGTGTCACACACACACACACACACCATCTTTCACATTCCACTTTGTCACTCACAACTGTTTTAACTTCTCGATCCTTCACCGCCTCCTTTCCCCTAACCTTCTTTCCCCGTCCCTGCTACAACCTTTCATGCTTATTATTGGAAGAAGTTGACTTGTGGGGTTATCCGGTCCTTTTCTGACTACCTAGATCCATCAAGCGTTTCTTTTTGCAGAAACAAATCAGGCCGATCTCACTACACATGTTTTTTTTGAGACATGGATTCGGTGCCAAGTTGTCTTCTTCCAGCTTGCTTTATATTCGGAGCATAAGGTCCCAAGAAGAGATGCTGGCAAAGCAACAGCAACTGCAGAGGGGCCACATCGAGGCCGAATTTCCAGAAAGTTTGAGATAATGCGACTCGAATCTGTTTGGAGTGTCCCTCTCATCTGGGCTGTTGCGGCCTTTCCAAGCGGCCGTGGTTGCTGCGTCTGTCTTGTGGTTCTTGGCAGCTTGTAGCTCCTCAGTTTTTCTGTCGTGTAGGGTCGCATACAGTTGGTCTGCCAGGGCTCTGTCCCAGGTCCCTGGCCGCAATGGTTCAAACAAGGGGTTGGATGGGTTTGTAAGATTGTCAGATCTAGGCCTCAAGCGAGTCATGTTCCAACCGATTCTAACCCGAATTTCACTTGTTTCTCTTAATATGTGAAGCTAGCGGTTGAGGGTCAGAATCCACTGGACCTCGCAGGCACAAATGAAATTTGCGGCAGAGATGCAAAAGTTGCAGGACCCTGCCCTGCTGTTCTGAGTGCTGATTGCATTGCTGCATGCTCAAGTGTTGCAATTATACCTTAGCGCGAGGAACACTGATATCATAATCGAAACATGAGAACATGGCCAAGGTGTGCATGTACAAAGCCTTTTAGCGTTTTTTTGCATTGTCACCTGTTGGGGTCTTGAGAAAGGCCAGCATGTCTTGCCATCTTGCTAAAAACCATCCCCAAACAACTAGTGTTTGTCCTACTTTGGTTGGATCAGCCGGTTTGCCACTTTACATCGTTTACTAGCGGTACTAGCGCTGGAGGAAGACTTGTTCAACTCTCCCACAGCAAAGTGTTGTACGTCATATCTTGTGTGCTCTTCACAGCTTCAGGGTCCTTCAATCCTGGTAATACACCAATACACAAATTCCATGGATACCTGTTCCCATCCTTTCGTAGGTTACAGGTGGTCCACAAGGTGGAAGTCCAGTCTCGCGCGGATCCCAGGAACCCCCTTTAGAGATCTTTAGAGTATGATTCTTACAGTATAACTATTATAGAACCCACATATATATATATACAATTATATACATATACATATATGTATATATATATATGTATAGAAATGTATCCATTTATATCAATGGATATCAATGTATGTCCGTGCAATCTGCCAATGAGCTGATGATTATTAGCGTGTTGACGGGACGGGTTTCGGCATGATTGAGGTATGGATCTGGTCAAAACTTCTAATGCACTTGCATTGTGCAACAACGTGCAGGCCCAGGGATTACAAAACTATGCTTTACTTGAACCTTGACTTTTTTTTTAAACAAACCATCTTTCTTCACTCCCTTGAAGTGCCGCAGCTAGCTTTGATTATGAATGAACAGGTCCGTATTGGTTCGGATGATGAACCGAGGCAGATGAGTTTGATAGTGTTTCACCTGGTATGGATTGGAAAACTCGGATGTATCAGATAGATGTCTCGCTCATGCTCAATCTGAGCAGAGGAGAATGTACACTAGTCAGCCGATGCCACTTGGCATGTGCTGGTCTTAATTGATACTAAGAGGGATGCCGATTACTGTGAATCGGTCAAGAACCCAAGAAGTTGCATTTCCAATTCGCAGAAGAAATAGAGCCTCCCTCTCCAGATCATTTGCAAAAAAACATCACTCGACACTGCATTGGATATGCTTGCTCGGAAGTCATTACTGTGCAGACCAGAGACCTCAGACATCCAAAGACTCACATTCCCTTTGAGACATGCTGCTCACATGGCATTTCTTGATGTCAACCGAGCATTCACCTCGGTGATACTGCAAAACTTGTAGTGTGTTCGTCAACTCTTTGTTAGATCAAAATTATGTGGAACACACACACATGAAGACACATAATTTCAAGACAAATGAATGCAGAAGATGAGTGCCGATGAGTGCGATGCGAAGCTGGTGGCTGAAGGAGTCGAGGCGAGCAAGAGTGTGAAATGAGTATGGTTCAAGAGATAGCGAAGAATCATTGACCCCCAAAATGGATGCTTTAATGCAAACAATGACCAATCTTGTGGGTCCATTGGCATTCCATTTTGACCTATACCCAAATTGATTAGATACAAATAGATAAAATATCTATAAGAGGATAACAGTGTACTTGAAGGACTGATCTAAGTTCTGTATTCTTCACGACCAAGGAAAGATACGCACACTTGGCATCGCTTAGTTTCTCTCAGCACACCTGGGTTGCGTTGCACACTTGAGCTTGAGTTGAGAGACTTCACCCGGAACTTCAAATACTTCAAGACGAGACTGCGAGACTTTTGGCCCACTGAGGCCATCGTGAAATGGTTCGATCCTCGCCGTTGTTACGGCTTCTGCTCCGTGACTGGAAATCTTCAGGACAAAGTGCGCATCTCAGTTGCAGATGCTGCAGATTTGTGTCCTCTTGTGTCCTCTTGTGATTTTCTGCGCAAATTGCGTGTGGTGTTGCGATTCGGTGGTGAAGCTATTTGAATATTGTATGAAGCTACACGTTACTACGTCAAGTGCATTGCTGCATTGCGGAGGTGCCTGAGGTTTTCTTTGGAGAGCAAGAGGCGAAGGCGGCAGATAACAAGAATATAACAAGAATGTTCCTGGAGCATTGACATTTGATGACATTTGGGTATATTACTGTACCACTAGACATTCCGAAGAGTGTCGTTTTTTGACATGAGAATCTTTCAGTCTTACCATGATGAAAGGTTGTCGCAGATTGTTCATGTCTTGATTTCCTGAGGCTGGCAGACTTCGTGGCTTAACTTTGTCTCGTGGAGAGCGTTTGGAATGTGATATCGTAGAAGGAGTGGTGACAAAGACATGGCGAAGACATTTGAATGACACTTTTGCATGCTTGTGTCATTTTTCTTAAAGCATTCCAATGGTTATGGTAGTGTGTCTCAGGATGCGAAAGACGTTCTGACAATGCACTCTCCAAGAGACGCTTCTCAGCAGCTGTGCTACGGCCGTGCCAAAGTGGATCGGGTGCGAAGCACAGAACTGTCGTTGACTACAACATGCTGGTTTTTCATTGTGCCAGGACCGCCAGGATCAGATGCTGATGGAGACACGCTGCGCATGCGAGAGGTCATCCCAACTTTTTTCCCGAGAGCGCCTGCGAAGGGTTCTTCGTAAAAAAGCAGCCGTTATACTACATCTTCATACCTTCACATCTGCTGATCTACATCTTCACACCCTCACACCTGCTGATCCACATCTTCACACCCTCACACCTGCAGATCTACATCTTCACACCCTCACACCTGCAGATCTAGATCTTCACACCCTCACATCTGCTGATCTACATCTTCACACCCTCACATCTGCTGATCTACATCTTCACACCCTCACATCTGCTGATCTACATCTTCACACCCTCACACCTGCAAATCTACATCTTCACAACCTCACACCTGCAGATCTAGATCTTCACACCCTCACACCTGCTGATCTACATCTTCACACCCTCACACCTGCAGATCTACATCTTCACACCCTCACATCTGCTGATCTACATCTTCACACCCTCACACCTGCAGATCTAGATCTTCACACCCTCACACCTGCAGATCTAGATCTTCACACCTTCACACCTGAAGATCTACATCTTCACACCCTCACACCTGCAGATCTACATCTTCACACCCTCACATCTGCAGATCTAGATCTTCACACCTTGACACCTGCAGATCTAGATCTTCACACCCTCACATCTGCAGATCTACATCTTCACACCTTCACACCTGCAGATCTACATCTTCACACCCTCACACCTGCAGATCTAGATCTTCACACCCTCACAGCTGCAGATCTACATCTTCACACCCTCACATCTGCAGATCTACATCTTCACACCTTCACACCTGCTGATCTACATCTTCACACCTTCACACCTGCTGATCTACATCTTCACACCCTCACACCTGCAGATCTACATCTTCACACCCTCACATCTGCTGATCTACATCTTCACACCCTCACATCTGCAGATCTACATCTTCACACCTTCACATCTGCAGATCTACATCTTCACACCCTCACATCTGCAGATCTACATCTTCACACCTTCACATCTGCAGATCTACATCTTCATGCCCTCACATGTGCGGATCTTCTCTCGCTCTTCTTTCTATCTCTCTCTTAAGGCCAGGGGCGGTGCCGCCGGAGCGCCACGAAACGCACCCCTTTCGCACGAAATGGACGTTGGACGTCCAAAACCTAGGTAAATTGCGATTTTGAGGTGTCGCGCGCAACCCTTTCGCACGAAATGGACGTTGGACGTCAAAAACTGTGGAAAAATCACGATTTTACTTGGTCAATCGCAACCCTTTCGCACGAAATGGACGTTGGACGTCAAAAACTGAGGAAAA